CGGGTTGCCCGCAAGACTGACAGCCACCCAACAGCTTATGCTCGGTCGTTGGGGCATTGACCTGAGTTCTTAGTTTGAGCATGTACCATGTGGAGAAAGCCTCGTCGCTATTGCGGTGGATCTGTTCGTCTAATGAGATGGCGGGATAATTGAGTCGAGCTTGCTTTCTCAGCGTTCATGTTCACTTGAGAGCTATCAGTTGTTTGTTCCCTGGCTCAGCTCTCACGACAAGTAAAGTACTGTAATCAAAGTGCACGTTGACGGAGGTGTGGATCGTAGATTGTGGAACCTGGACGACCCTCGTGCCGCGCACCCTCGCTGGTACACAACCTTCCCGTGTCGTCTGGGTGGACGAGGCACGAGGTCCTCCCTTCGTACAGTAGTACATCGTGCGGCGGCCCTGGGAGGATCTGCGAGTCGATCGCCCATCGCCCATCGACAAAGCCAAAGCAACTCGTGAGTCGTAAGCACAGCACGGGGTACCGAGGGACACGCCCCCGAGCAATCCGGGGTCGCTCGTCCCGACCAGCCGCCGTGCCGGATAAAGGGAATTCAGTGACATGACATCCTTTTCCGTGCCTTTACCTTGGATGCGGTACGAGGTACAGAGAGGGGATCGATATATAGGTCCCTCGGGCCTTGCTCCGCCCGACGAACACTGCTTATATCAGTTTTGATTTCACTAGTATTGTGGTGGTGGTGGTGGTGGTTGTTGTTGTTCAATGCGCAGCTGTTGTGAGGAGCACGACTTGACTGGTGGGTGTTTTGGCAAAGAAAAAGCAGCTGAATGGAAGACACTGAAAATTAGACGACGTGGGAGGAAAAGCGGTCTTGCATTGAGCGGTCGACCTGGCGCTTGAAACTGGTCCATCAGGGCAAAACTACCTAAAAGTAAAAAGACTTTCATTTATACCAGCAGAGTGGAGGCTGCCTATCAGAACCTGTGGAATGGATACCGCAGCCTTGGAAATCAGAACCCCATGGACAAGGATGAAGATGTCCTCAGAAAGGCTTGCTCGTGCTCTCCACCATCTCTCCTCGTCCTCGACCACATCTCGACAAATCGCGGACTCGAGTCCCTCATTGAGTGTCTATTGTGTTGGGGTGACGGCGTTTTCTCAACACCGCGCTCATGCCGGGTGTATCAACGGGTCATGTTCCCTTTGCAGCTGTTGAACTGAGACTGCCTAGCTACTTGCCCTCCATGTCGGGCCTCCTGCCACTCAGGGAGACAGAGCAAGTCTGATAGAATCGCTGCGCATCGACTGCATGGCTGGAGACTTGCCATGCTTCTTCTCGGCGATGTACCGGGGAGCTCAATGGTCCTAGCCCTTGTGCTGGGAGACTTTCCCATACACTTCAGCAATTCGTACGACAATGGCCGGTCTGTGTGTGGTTGGAACGCTGGATGTAATGGTGGGTGGATGCACGTTTGCTTGATCTTGAACCTGGAGGCTGTGGAAAGCAGCTTTGAGATGAATCTCTCGGTATCCTAATCGACCAACCCTCCCTTTTCTGTTTTTCATAATGTCCCTGATGTCTTTCAGTAGCGACGTGGTAGCCAGCCTGGGATGTTTCCTGCTTACGGCAGTCAGAGATTTTCAAGCATATTCCCGTAGTGTGATCTGATTGATACCACAGGTGGTGTATGATTTCTGCTTGTGTGGTTTGAAGAAAGTTCAGCGTTAAATCGACTCCGGATCATGTCGCATAACGGGGGTCTTGGTGGCACCTTGTTCCCCACACCAGCGCGCTGTCTCATCATTGCCGACAATCCGATCATTCTGATGCATCAGGCTGAGCTGGATCCGGCCCACCTGCGAGATTCCATTGTCTGAGACTAGGCAAACATCATCATGAAGAGGGCGTGTTTGCAGTATCTGTGAGTAGCGCCAATGTTTGCCAGTCGCCGCATTGTAGCCGTGGACAAATGGTTCAGGCACTTCTTGCAAGAGGAGTAGGATCCATACATAAAGAGATCAAACTCATCTCCGCCATTCACCGCGTCCTCGCATATGAGCCTCAATCGACCGCCATACTTCTTCTACGATCTCTCGATCCCTCCATCTTCTGGCGGCTCGTGCTTCTTGATCGACAGTTGCACCATGAGCTCTCTCGTCCCACCTCTCGACAGTATATGTCTTCACACTACTGCCCCAACCCTTTACTTCCCCGGGAATGGGTAACCCTTTCTCTCCCACGAAGATACCCAACACATGACCAAAAAGCTCCTGTGGCTCTCTCCATTTGTACCCTCGGAATTGCCAGATTTGACCGGTCGTAAAAACGGCCACTACGCGCGACCAGTAGTCAGGTTTGAATTGGTCTGGGGAATCAACCAGGATAAATCTGTAAGGCTTTTCACTCAGTGAGTGGAGTGTGCGAGTGATGTGCAGAAGATTAGCAGTAGTTTGTGTTGAGAGCGTCGGATGGTCGGGTGGGACGTAGAGGCCAGTGTCGAGAAAAGCTTTGATATTCGACATTCGGAGCAGTGAGGATGCAGATGGAGAAAGGAGAATGATTGGGTCTGAACGTTTCGAAGACACCGCACCTACCGCTGGCTTCGACAATCCAGCAGCAGGTCGAGCGGCGAGTTGAGAGATCTGGGAGGTCTGGCCATGTCGAGCGACTGATGGCATACCTTTGCGCCGTCCGAGGAAGGTTTCTGCGTGCTTGCGCACGTGTGAGAAGTCCTGACGGGGTTAGAGATTATAACGAGAAGGAATACCTGGTTTGGCTCTTACTGTAGGCTTGATTCCTCGCAGGGCGGTATTGTGGTCCCCCAACTTCCGCTCCCCATTGTAGATTGCTTGTAACCTCGCATCTATCGTTTTGATAGGCCTTCCTCCAACAGTCTGAGTGACGCCGACACCGACGCCACCGACGGTCGGAACAGTCGCGCCACCAGCAACATCTGCCGCTCGGTTGGCAGCATCGCCTAGAGCGGCCGCACCTTCGATGGGTTTGATATATTCAGATTCTTCAGAGGCGCCTTCCAGCCACGTAATCAAATCAAGACGCTCGACGAAAATGAGATTCCTCACTTTTTGACCCTCGGGAAGTTGTTTATCTAGATCCGCTGCAAGGGCAATGTATTCGGGAACAGCGACATCTTTCTGGAGCCAGGCGAAGAAGATGCTTCGCAGGTCGACCTGGACGGTGTCAGGATTTGTGGATGTGAAGCGCGTCTTTTGGTCCAAAGGAATGCACAAAGGAGTAGGATGACTGAAGTAGAGGGATGTTGCCTCGACGAATGAGTCCGTTTGGTTTGCTTCCGCAGTTGTCGGATTAGAGGATGTAGTGAGGATTGGGGGCTTTGAGACTGCAATGCTTGCCCTCAGCAATTGAAGCGCATCGGTGGAAGCCATTGATCGATTGGACGAGAATCTCTGACGGAAGGATGTCCAGAATAGTCCCCTATCTCATTTCCAAGTCACGGCCGCAAGGGTACTGCAGCCCTCTTGCCGAAGCGAAGTGGAATACCTTTAGGGCGTTTTCGACACTCAAATTTTAATACAGGAAGTGTTCTCGGACAACGCGACAAAATGTGGAGAAAAGATAATCCGTGCCGATGCAAACAAACCACTTTCAAGTTCATCCTCCCCCTTTTCAACTTGACGACGCTTCACATTCCTCGCTTCGGCCTCAATGCTAGGTTCGTATTGCACACAAATCATATGCAGGGTATTCCGGCCACTCCGGCTGTGTTACATTCATGCAGAGCTACGAATTGAATTTTACAACAAGTCCGGTCAGCGTTGTATCGCTACGACATCAGTGAAGAAGTTAAATTCAAGTGCTTTTTCGCTTGTGGCCGTCCATCAGCTCCGATGACTGTGTCTTCTGCAGCGGACTGACTCAACAAAGGGGCTGAAGCCTGCATGGCCAAACTTTGGCGTGAGTGTGATTTTCCTATCTGTGATGTCTTCACTGGAAAAGGGAATGCTTCCGTAAGGGGCTCAGCTTGTGTCTATCCCACGAATTTGGAGTATCTTGCACAACCTTCGCAGAGAGGCCAGTTCAAGGGTTTAGAAGATACGCAGAAAATGATCTTGAGTGAGATATGGTGTAGATATATTGATGATATGAGTGGGTAAAATGTTTCATGAACATCTATGAAGCTTAAGCTTAATGCATCAGCACACACAAGAATATTGTGCAATATGTTCGAGATCCTTTCATCTGCTTCTCCTTCACATGTCCCTGCTAACTGCAGCACCTACTCAGCAGCCTCAACTCAGCTGCTTGGACATCCCTTGTGTGTCCTCAATCCAACCCTTAGGGTATGCAACCGGGTCCGACCACCTACCACTTCAGACCCATCCACCGTTATGTCTTTGTTTCCTTCACAGGGTATCTTTCCAATGCAGATGCAAAATGGTAATGGTGATTGCGCCGCTAGTGATGCCGACTAGAAACCCAAACCCTGATCCGACCACGCTATGCAGAACTGTACATCAATGTACTTTATAAAGAAAATGGTGCAGTATACCATCAAACACAGGGTCATCAGTCTTGCAACTGCACAATGGCAGACCATGCGGACAGGAATCTTTAGAGAATGCCTTTTCGGTAAGAGATGAGGTAAGTGTATAGGGTTTGTGTCCATCAGAGGTTCACAAGACGATGAACCTTGATTTCGTATGTTCATCAGACGCAAATATGCAAGTACGCTGAATAATGCATTGATACTGGGTTCGTTACAATCCAGTGATGGTGGGAGGAAATATATTGTCAAGAAGGGTTTGGTGGGAATTCAACCCCGTCCTGTGTTGGATCGACTGACTGTCCGATCAGGAGCAGGTGAGAGGGCGCGGTTCGACCCGATAAGATCTATTTCGTGGTCTCGAAGAACACTTGCATGTCGTGGATCGCGGAGAAATTTGGGGACAGAATCCTGTACAACTGTCAGTTCTCAAGTCGATGAAGACGTGCTCATAGACTTACACTCGCCATGAGCTTGAAAACAGCTGATTGCGCAAGCTCAAACAATTCCACTACATCGTCAAGACTTTCTCGCATGGACTCATCATCTGTATTCGTCCTGATCATACGACTGTCAAGACGATTCCGAAGAGAGTGGTCGATATTCAACTCTGATGGCGCGCCTGACGCGAGAAAGGAATTGTAGAGACCTAAATCAATTGGCAAGATTCACCAACTCGGCTGAAATGAAAACATACCATATGCAGCAGCCAGAGTCTCTCTGACAGCATCTGGGCGGTCGAGTTTGCCGGCTTGATCGAGTTGCCGATAAGTGGTGGTGAAATCGTGGACGTCAAAATAAAACTGCAGGTTCTCCTCACATAAGGATTGCCTCAAGAACTCGCGGAACAGTAACCGAAGGGCTGCGTCTTGCAGAATGACGTTGAGTCTACTGACATTTGAATCTCGAATCAAACGGGACTTGTCTTTGGTATCTCGGCTGTCCTCGCTGTCGACACTGGGCGGCCTGGCAATCCAACCACAGACTCGCTGACCACGTTCAGTGATGGTGTAGATGGCGTATTTCGTGGGTTGGAAGTATGTAGCCATAGGGTTCATTCGAACGTAAGCTCGATCCTCGACGATTGGTTGGATTAGTTGCCACTTGACAAACAATTCAGTAATCTCATACGTTTCTCTGCGATCAATGGTGGTGCAACAATCCAGAAGCCAATCCGAGGCTGCTTTACCAGTGAAAGTGTTGTTCACGGTCTTGTCCAGAACACGTCGTTCTTTAGCCATCTTGACCCCCACGAGACCAGTTGCATATTCTGACACCGAGTCGGAATCGGATAGAGAAGTGGAACTTTTCAGATTCGGCCCCTCAGCTCCCATAAAGCGACGAAAGATGACTTCCACTATGGCCCGATCCTGTACAAGCTTGTCCGTAGTGGCATCCCTTTCTAGAGCGACAATTTGCATTTGGCTCCGCTTCAGTAAAGGCTCAATGTGGCGAGCGTTGATGCCGTTTCTACCGCAGAAGCGCTGCAGGATTGCTATGCCTTTGGGGGTCAATTGCCATACGGCACCTTTGGTAACAAAAACGGTGTTGGCCTTGGACTCGGCAGATTCAATCATTCGTGCATCGACAAATCTCTGACAGACGGAGCGTGCCATTTCTTTGGCCATGGAAAACGTCGTCGTCGTAGTGGTGACAACCCATCTTGAAGGGTTCTTGGGGTCGGGTATGCGGTTTGATTGGGAGAACTTCAACGACCCTAGATTAGTGATGGCTTCTTCTGAGAGGAAGGTCTCATCAACTCTCGAGAAGCGAACACGATGGGGAGTTAGCGGCAGACTTGTGACGAGAGTTGAGAAGAGATCTTTGAAATCTCGGGTGAAGGGTCGCTCATCGTCGGTCATGCGCAGGATCTTGGACGAAGTCTGGTGCATCCTGCCATTATTGCGCTCGGGAGTCGGCATTGGTGGTATTGTTATGCTGGGCCTGGGTTCTTGGGTAGGTAGCGGAACTCCGCTAGCTCTTCTCAAGTGGGCAGCAGTCTGAAGATCGGCAGGTGATGTAGGCGAACGAGGCAAGCTGGGTCGAGTAGAACCTGTCGAGGTGGAATATTTTGAAAGGCTCCCAGAGGAAGTGGCGGAGCGCAGGCTTGGTGACGAAGCGGTACCTATGGAAGCCAAATTGGCAAAGGCGTTTGACGTTTTCTCTCGAGCCAGCGATGCAAGCGAACGTCTACTCTTGTTGGTGGTGAGGCTGACGGAACCGCTGTGATGGTGTTGGTGTGTTACGCGAGCGGCATCCAGAGCAGGAGTGTGTGAGGGCGAGGGAGAATCTTGGACGGAATGTGACAGGGAAGACTGAGCAGATAAGTGGTTATCTTGTGAAGTCATGGAGAGTTGAATTGCAGCATCGCTGGACTGGGACATGGAAGAGCCTGGAGAGAGCACGGCGTGTGGATAAAGTCACTCGAGACGTGGTAGGGTTCCGCTTCGCAGTAGCATAGATGGCATAGCAAGGACAGGCTTTTTTGGATTGCAACAAAGAAATGAACTGTGGACAGTAGCGGACAATCGGCAGAGGGTACAGGCACCGGCGGTGGCAGTGGCAGTGGTAGCAGAAACACGAACGGGCGCAACCCATAACCCACAATTGACGGAGTGCCGGGATTGTTCACCATGAGACCACGAGGTGGTGGATCACCTTAAGGCGCAGGCTAGCAGGCTAAGAGACTAGCAGGCCCTTGTCGACAGAGGGGGGCTCCCTGGTTCAGGTCGGCGTGACCAGGGTAGGATGGGAAAGACTTTTTGGAGCGTGGTTGAAAGTGGACACCGAGTGGGGAGGGACGTAGGGATGGAGATTCGAGAAGAAGTTGGTCCCTGCCGCTCGAGTCGGCTGGTCTTCGAGGTCGGGGGTGGCTCCACCAGAACGCACTGGAGAGTGTCCAGGATGTGTCCAGGATGTGGACCTGATGAGAGAAGATGTCAATCGAGTTAGACAGGTTAATTGGCGAGGAGGCCGGGCGCCTTGGGAGAATGGGCTGGATAGGCAGTGATCTTCCCACGCTACCGTCTCAGAGTTGGAATGGATGAGCGATGGGTGGGTAAAAGGAAAATCTAAGCCTTCAAATTGCGTGGAGGGCTTCGTATGTAAGTCCCGGTACCGGCTAAGGGGAACATGAGAGAGGAGACGCACCAAAGGGAATTGATGGGATTGAAAATAGGGCGGTGATGATGGTGGACGGTGGACGGTGGATGGGTGCGTTGAGTGGGAGATAATGAGACACTCAGGACGGAGTACATACGCAGGAGGGATTGCCTTTGGCCCTTTGGTACTCCAGGCTGGCCTGGCAGTGAGCGACAACCGCCCACTTCACTGAGTGCTGCACTTGAGCAGTCCTGTTAGATTGATAGGTAGATACAGGAAAAGGATACAGATCGAACTGCAGTGTTTTGCACTGGCTATCAAGATTCAGGACGTGCGCACACACCGTTGCATCATCCTCATTTTCGTAGCATACAGCTATTCTCGGTATGCATTCGGGGACGACTCTTGTACCCTCGTACCTGTGCGGCATCACTTTTGGGGGAGGGCCCGGGGCTTACGTTTGACAGGTGGGTGGCTGCCCAAAAGGCCAAAGCCTCCCCTACTGCCGAAACCTAAGGAAGCCTTTACCAACATTCCGCGGGCGTCGTGCTAGGTACTGCGTATGTACTGCGTACTCCATAACCGTACAGAGACACTGGCGGCAGGTGCGCAGGCGGTGACTGACAGCTGCCAGGTGGGATTGATCTTTACTAGTAACTAATTGACCCCCATTTGTGGCATCCGTTGGGGGGGATGGGGGGGGTGCGTCGTTGTGCTTCATCAACTGTCAGAGCCTCATTTAGGCTCTGCAGTGTTTTCCAGTGCTCCAGGGCCACACTTTACTACTGTTACACAACAGGCTCGGCGTGCTCGCTGCTCCAAATAATGTTTCCACGTCCCTGTCCCTGTCCATGCATAGTCTGGCAGTCTGCATCCTCGCACATGGGCATTCGCCTGAGCTATGGTCTGGTCAAGGAGTGCATTAGCTCTATCATTCCGCCTATCATGGGCCGGGTTCCAAATGCAGGAAGCATGTTCGGCCACTCCCCTCACTTCACCTTATTACAGTATACCACGGACTAGTTATACTCGTCCTCCGTACTGCACTTGACTCCTTAGGGCAAGCTGCGAGTACGAGTAGCTTGCCCTCAATTCAACAGGGATATTAATCATCTGGCTTTGGACCGTAACAGAAGTTAGAACATCAGTGCAGCAAACAGCCACTAAAGGGCTAGCTCTGTGGCCTATTGCTGCTGAACGGCTCATTCAGAGGCCAATGCAGACTAACACTATCTCATTCTCATTGTAGATCCACCAATTTCCCCTCATCCTGGTGCCGATCAACCTCTTCACTTCGTCCGAAGCCCTATTCGGAGCTTTAGTACGGAGTGCTCAGTTAATGTCCGTGCTTCATTCTTCACTTGGCTCGATTCAGCTTCGCCTCTTCCTGAAGAGGCTCCGCTTACGATCACTAGTGACTAAGAGGTCAGTTTTGCTGTGATCATGGAAGATGATCAGCAAGGTGTCGTCAGGACTCCGGACAGATAGTCGGTATTCAGTCAGGTGAACTTGGATTTGTGCACCACTGGCTCGAATCTCCTCCTCCCATTTCTTATCCTTCTTGAGACGATCATGATGGACTGTAGTAGTCAAATACGAGAAGCTGCAGCGCCCCATTCGCCATGATAACCCCATTTTGCCTCTTCAAATAATCTATGAGGGAGGGAGGCCTCATTACTCAGCACGGAGGATGCTCCAGGCGGGTTTGCTAGAGGGAACATCACCATCACAACCCATCATAGCTGGATCCAGAAGGATGGTGGAATTACTACGCGAGAGCAAGGGTCAACCACAACCGCTTTCGGTGTCTGGGTTAGGCCCAAAGGCGTGAAGTACTCCGTAATAAGAGACTCGTAAACAAGAGGGAAAGCAACTGTGCCCACTGACCACCCCAATCAGACTCCGTGCCTAGTGCACCGGCGGAGTTTCGAAAAGGGTGCTGATGACAAAAGATGCGACGACGGATGAAGTGGGTGGCCTGGCTGGGGTACGAAGTCACGAACACGAGATGGAAAAGGAAGGAAAGGAAGGAAAGGAAGTCAAAGAAGATGCTTAGCTTACGAGGGGTGCTGCTTGATCTGACCTTCAGCATCCTCCCGTGACCTGCAACACTCTTGGATCGACACGTCCACCACATCTGAAACGAACTAGGTACCGGCAACCTTTCCTCATGCAGGCCTGCGTTAGGCAGTTTTGGGGGCTAGCGGGCCACCTAGTGCGAGGGGCTAAACCCGCAGCTAAACGAAAGAAGAACAGGGAAGGAAACTGTGCGGGCGTGGCGTTTTGCAGCCTGGCGGAGTGGAACCAGCAGCTTCTCTTCCTCCAGGGAGGCCACGTGGTGGCACAGCAGCCAGGCGCTAGCATACAACAAGGGCGTCAAAGGGCCAGAAATTACTTCCAGGGGATCTCACACATCCAAATGCCAAATACGGTTTAGACGCTTGGCTCCCCTGGACCACTGGCACGACGACTCGACGAGCAGCCGGAGACTGGCGTCTGGTGTTGGAGTCGTTTGGAGCTTCGGGGCCTCGGGGCCTCGGGGGCGCTGTCCCAGGCCGGGCACCTGGCACGGGCACCTGGGCCCTGGTGTGCTTGATCTCCTTTCCCGAGTCTCCACCGCACTCCGTACTCTCTCGCTTTTCGTCCCTTGGTCCCTTCTGACTCCCTTCTCGAACCCCAACGACAGCTTCCATGCCCACAATTCGAAGGATGTTAAATTGTTCCATGAACCTTCGATCCACTTCCAGGGAATGGCAAATGTCAAGGACGTTGCTGCGAGGTTGCAACGGTGACCATGATCTCGGGAAATGGGCCCAGCAGTGAGCAAGCGACTGTCATGCTCGAGATTAAAATACCTAGCACCTACGGGTAGGAATGTTTCAGTCTTGGCTACGGCACACATGCTCGTACGACTCAGCTATCCAGATTCCAGATTCCGGATGCCAGATTCCAGACTTCAAAGGACCGCGTACGCCGTACATCCTTCCGCTGACGCCCTTGGCTTATGTACAGTGCGGAGTATGCACGCCGCATGACCAGCTTTGGGCAACCCGTGCCGTACGAGCACCGCCAGTCGCCAGTTGGAGTTTTGGAGGGTCAGCTTGAAGTCGGCTAACCCTAACAATTGGAAACAGGGTCGTGCCAGGATCGTGGCAGCGCCGTACAGCACTAGACGCCCTTCTCCGCGCCTGCTCCCCGATTCCCTCACTGGGCAACTCTGGTGCACTGCTCTCTGCTGCTGACCGGCGAACTGCTCGCTGCTCATTGCTCACTCCCGTGGCGCCAGTACAGACGGGGCATGCAATGTGATAGTCAAACTGTTGCAGTGTCATCGCTTGAAAGTCCCTTACGCGGTCATCCCCCCAGACACGAATAATGTGTTCCGTACTCGTACATACATGCATGGAGACCGACTCAGAACAAAGACTTGTTTGATGCTTGCCTTCTAACCAGGCTGGACTCTCAGAATCGTGAGGAGCTTGAAGGGGCCCTATCTACGCTCAAGTCTAAAGTCCTCAGTCCATCCTGTCAAACTTCCACATAATGTCCTGTACTAATTCGAACCTACACTCTAGTATTGAACAACAGCCAACTAGTTCGGGGCATTCGCAATTCTTCCCTTACTGGCGATGCACGTTGGCCTGAGACGACCTCTCCCTTGATGCCGATAGCCAGATCACGGTCTTCCACCATCCCACTCTCAGACCGCATGATCGAGGTCGCTAGAGGGGGGCCACTATCTTTACCACGACCTAGCAGGTTGGCACTAAACCGTGGTGCACACAAAATGGCAAAACTTTCCAAAGGCCATCCCGCAACCTTCCGGGTTTTCGTCGCTCTAGAGCATCGCCAGTATCTTGACCTCCACTTCACTGCACGAGGCGTCAAACTGCAAAGTGGTTGCATCGTCTTTTTGCCCTCTGCCCGCTCCCTTCCCGGCTCCAGCTCTTGACTTTGGTCTCCTGGTCAGGCCTGCTGCACGTTGTTCCATCTCCTACCCGTCCACACGCCTGTTAAACCTGCATCATGAATTGGCCCGGTCCACAAAACTTCCCTGCAACTACTGCCACTAATTCTGTAATACCTCATCATTTCGATTTGCTTCATGGACCCTCTCTCACTAGAGCCCAGCCAGACTGACCTGGTCACCTCGTGTTTGACGTTCACACGGTGCTTGATCCCTGCTTCAATTTCCTCAATTTGCGCCATTGGCACTGCCACCTGCCTGGTCTTTCCCCTGCTCTCGCACGTGGCTACCCCGTTGTGGCTGCCACGAGGCAATTTCGCAAGCCTTGGACTCCCACATGCAGGTGTATTCCTAAGTTCAACCGTTCTCTCAATGACAGCGAGCTAATGTAACAACCTCGGTGGTCAATAATCAAAGCCATGGACAGAGCGCGGTAGTCACCATGGCGGTAAGGGACGTGTTTTGGCCATGGCCATCACTTGGGCTCATCTATCATCACCCAACTCAGGCTATCCTGGTCCCAGTACTTCATCAATATTTCAATTGGTCCAATTTTTCTGCCCAGCTTGTGACGCCATTCCAGTTTCATGGATTCCCCCCCGTCAACTTACCCCCCGTTCCAGGAAGCGGTGAAGTTCGACCTAGCCATTGGCGATGCTAATGAAAATTCTTCTAAACGGTATACCCCTTCCTGTGCAATCCCCCACGGCCTGCTGGACTTTGCACGCCACTAGCGTTGCCGGGAATCACCAATTACATGTTTGTTTGTGTTTTTCCAACGTCTTTGGCGGGTTGGTGGACGGCACCAACCTTCCGGCCTCTTTTCGATCGACCTGGCGGCATCAACCGATCAGCCCCGAGGGCGTAAAACAGCATGTGTCGAGTCAGTACTCCGGATCAAGCGTCCGATTACACAGACAGCCTCTTCTTTCTCCACCATGGTCAATAAATCGCCTCACACGGATCGCATGAAGGCTGTGCCTCGCACGAGGTCGCAACCAATGCGAAGCAATCACAACAGCCCGTGCACCGTGAAGCTAACTAATGCAGAGCAAAGTCGGGGCCAACGGTCGACTCATCTCAACGAATTAAGGAGTCTGGTGTTCGATTGACCTCGATGCATATTCGGATATGAACAAACGTCCGTGTCACCGTTCTCGGCTGATCTATTTGAGAAACAAATTATGATAATTAGTCGCTTTCGTTCACGAACGAGCTATGACCGCTCAGTCCAACCTCCAGCCATGTTCCGGTTCCTACTTTGCAACTCGCTTTGTGAAGTCGAATTGACTAGTTAGCCGTTGGGAAACCCGTGTTTGCTCCAGCTTCCATCCTCGCTTCCAACAGTCTGAATCCCGCACTCAGCAAATATGATCGTCGATCAGGAGGCAACAACTGATCTGCAACCTTGGAATTCGCAGGACTGCCAGACAGGTAATAATGTCTTGTCTTCCTTCGCTTGGAATTGACCTGCTAAATAGGAGTCTGAGCCGAACATAGAGCGACGAGATCGCCAACAGCCCATGCGACTGGTTAGCTAACCAAATCACGAGGGTACTCGGGTAGGCAGAAGTGGAAATATTCTTCCCTTCCTTACTCGTGGCTCAGATGTCTCCCGCACCGCTTCTCCCTGCACTTTGCGTTGCTCCGGCATGTCCACCATTCGCCGTGCAGGATGGATCATCCACCTCCATCAGCGATCGTTGATTTGCTCAACCACTTCCACGTCGTGTTTTGCTTGTGTGGGCCTTCAACGGAGCCGATCATACCTTGGACTTCGCTCCCTGTTGCCCAACCGCTACCCCTGACACGACCAAGTGACGAAGAAAAAAAATGCTCCGGTGCGAGAGCATGCAGACAACGGCTTTAAAACGAAAAAATAGAATTAAGTAATCCTTCCACCATGGCGGCCTGGCGTTGAACCTCCGTCCCCGTCCCTCCTCGTAGGTAACTAACTCCCCCTGTTCGCCTAGGTACGTAGGCGAGCAGTGAGGGTGAGATACACAATCAGGGCGCCTCTCGTCCGGGACAGATGTAATTTCTCTGGCCGTCAGCATTCCATGCTGTTGATATTGGGTGGCGACTGGGCCGGGAAAAGACGCCTATTCAAGTATCCACAAGCTGAGCTCTATCTAGCATATGGTTGAATATAGTACCTTCAGGAGGACCGACCTGAATATAGTCGAAAGAGCAGAATATATAGCACGTCCCATACTTATCGGTCTTCGCACTATCCTATTGTATCCTTGCTGGTCACTGATGGTGGTTCTGGAAACCACAAACATGCCCCCCAGCTCCGAAAACACATACACAGCGTGGAAATAAATAGTGTGCCGATAAGGGAAACAAGGCGGACACGGACACGGTATACACCAGGATTTGGATTGCATTTCATGATACTCGTTTTTATTCCCCCCCAAACCCCGTTGTCGCATGGTCACATGCGAGCGTACATAACGCCGCCGCCGATTCATCGTAACGTAACCACCTACATATATACCTAGCCAACTACCTAATGGTCCTACGTCCTTAGGCTCGCGGGAGTCCAACATCTCATGGCTAGCGGTAACATTCCTGGATCTTCTGGAAGGCTGCATCTAACAGACCAAGCACGAACAAATTCTGCTGACATCCCGCACTATATATAGTTCAAGCACCGTGAATCAGATAGACCGTTTTGTTTGATCCTCTCCCATTGAATTGAAGACAAAACATAGCAGTGATGGAGAAAAATTCCACGAGTGGCTGGGTTTCGTCCGACCGGCTAACCTTTTGCTGTACCGTTATGTGTTCTTGAAAAGAGTATCTCCGCCGCCCTGATCCTATCTTATCCTGGGAAGCAACGGCCCAGCAGGACTCCAGCCCTACCGGGCAGTCCCATCTCTTATGCGGTTTTTGTTCCCCCTTTCTCTTTTCACCACTCAACAGGATCGGTCTTGACCTCGCCACGGTTCGTCTTGGGAACCGGCGCGGCCTGGATCTTGGTGGGGCCCTTGCCCCATTTCTTGAGATAGCCACTGCCGTCGAGCCACGGGGTGTCGAGAGTCCGCTTCTGCTCGAAGCGCGCGATTTTCTCCTCCTGCTGCATCGTCAGCCCGATGTCGTCGAGGCCCTCCACCAAGCAGTGCTTGCGGAACTCCTCGACCTCGAACTTGGCCAGCTCGTTGCCCTGGGCGTCGCGAACCGCTTGGTTGGGGAGGTCCACTTCGATCTCACGCCCGGCGCGGGCTTCGTCGGCGATCTTCTCCAGCTTCGCCTGGTCGGTGATGCACAACGGCAGCATGCCGTTCTTGAACGTGTTGTTGAAGAAGATGTCCGCGTAGCTGGGTGCGATGACACATTTGATGCCAAAATCTAACAGTGCCCATGGTGCGTGCTCTCGCGACGAGCCACAGCCGAAGTTTGGTCCTGTCACGACGAGGATCTTGGCCTTCCGATAAGGGTCCTGGTTTAGGATGAATGACGGATCTTCGCTGCCGTCCTCGTTGTAGCGGAGGGGGTGGAAGAGGGCACTGCCGAGACCGGTGCGCTTGATGGTTTTGAGGAATTGTTTGGGAATGATGGCGTCAGTGTCGACGTTGGCCTTTTCCAGTGGTGCCGCAATACCTTTGAGAATGGTAAATTTCGGGAATCCACCTACAGAGGTCCCTCCTGTGGCGCTGGCGTGGTTGGTGGCAGTAGATGTGCTGTCTGTTGGGATATCGAGAATACGGTCAAGTTCCTCTTCCGAGTCGACTTCAGCAAAATGAGATGCGACATCGAGTTTGGGTGATGCTTTGGCAGGTGTTGCATCATCAGACAGTTTCCGCACATCAGCCAATTTGCCCACAATGGCGGCAGCGGCGGCCATAACGGGCGACATGAGATGTGTACGACCAAGAGCTCCTTGGCGACCCTCGAAGTTGCGATTTGATGTACTGGCGCAGCGTTCTCGTGGAGACAGAATGTCCGGATTCATGCCCAGGCACATTGAGCAACCAGCTTCACGCCATTCAAACCCTGCGTCTGTGAAGATCTTGTCAAGACCCTCACGCTCTGCTTGGTTTTTGACGTTGCCCGATCCTGGTACGACCATCGCTCGCTTGACGTTGGTGGCAACTTTCTTGCCGTCCACGATCTTTGCGGCGGCACGGAGATCTTCGATTCTTGCATTGGTACATGAACCGATGAATACTTTGTCAATTTCGATATCCTCCATGTTTGTCCCCGCTTCCAGCCCCATATATTCAAGTGCTCGCTTGCAGCTGGCTTTCTTGTTTGGATCCTCGAAGTCGTCTGGGCCTGGCACCTTGCCGGTGATAGGAACAACATCTTGAGGTGAGGTGCCCCAGGACACGGTAGGTGAGATATCTTTTGCGTCGATGAAGACTTCTGTATCATATTTGGCACCCTCGTCCGATCTCAAACTTGACCAGTAGTGGATGGCCTTTTTCCACTCGTTGCTATCCACTTTGGGTGCGAGCGGTCGACCCTTGAGGTAGTCAAATGTGGTCTGATCCGGTGCAATCATACCAGCTCTCGCACCACCTTCGATGGACATGTTGCATATAGACATCCGTGCTTCCATACTTAGGCTACGGATGGCAGAACCGCAGAATTCGATGACTGCGCCAGTACCTCCGGCAGTACCAATAACACCAATCACATGAAGAATGATGTCTTTGCTGCTCACACCAGGTGCTAGTGAGCCATCCACCTGCACCCGCATGTTTTTGCTCCTCTTTGTGATCAGACATTGTGTAGCCAGAACGTGCTCCACCTCACTGGTACCAATACCGAATGCTAGAGCACCAAAGGCTCCGTGGGTCGAAGTGTGGCTGTCACCGCAGACGACCGTTGTGCCTGGAAGAGTGAAACCTTGTTCGGGTCCAATGATGTGAACGATGCCTTGATTCTTGTCACCCAATCCAAAGTACGTGAGGCCGAAATCCTTGACGTTCTCCTCGAGCGTGACACATTGTAATCTGGAATCTTCTTCTTTCACAAAGTCTGCGACATTCTTGAAGTTCTTCCTCGGCGTCGTCGGCACATTATGGTCTGTAGTAACTAGGGTGCAGTCCCTCCTCCGGACATCTCGATTTGCGTTCTTCAAGCCTTCGAAGGCCTGAGGCGATGTGACCTCGTGGACGAGATGTCTATCTGGAAGGGAGTTAGAGAGACAGAAAAAACAAATGCGCCAGATGATCGGTTCATGGGGGGTTCACATACCGATGTACAAAAGCACCGTGCCATCGTTTTCTTGATTGACGACATGGTCTTGGAAGACCTTGTCGTAGAGTGTTCTGGGTTGGGAGTCCGCCGATGGCATTTTGTGAAGAGATTGAGGCACACGGGATCCAAAATATTCTATCAAAATGGAATCGACCACCACTACAAGTGTGCATCGAATTGAAATCAAGTAGATATAAGCCGAAAACTTGCCGGTATCGGATCAGAGGACTCACGTCGACAGAGTGTATTTCAGGTCGATGACTTTATCTCAAACATGATTGGAGGGACGGGGTCGGTGAGGGGCAATTTTGGTGGGAACCGAAGTGCGGAAAGATTCGACCTGTGTGGTAGCGAGGCTAGGAATGTAGCCAAGACCGGAGGAAAGTAGAGTTGCGGGGTGATCGGGACAGGCAACTCTGCCGAGAAGTACTGTTCTGTGTGGCACAACCAGCCGCGATATCGGCATGACATAGGCGAGGCTGAGAGATGGGTGCACGTTCAGCCTTGTGCACTTCAAATCAGAGATGCCACATCCTTTGCTGAAACCAGCATACGGAGTACTTCGCACTCACTGGATGCAGTCACCATCATGTATACTGATCATGGTTGCGTCATATGTCAGCTTGGAAGGAGCCATCGCCCATGTCCCACTTTCGATCGTCTGTATACCCAGAATGAGTCCACCGGAAACACATCTTGTTGGAGGATTTGGACTGTACAACTGTACGGGCCAATCGATACAGGCAAGTCAGCGTTGTTGAGATTTCTGTCTTCTTCTATTCTATGGTCACCGTTCTGGTTTATATAGACAATTACTAGGCAAGATGACCTCCTGGAGCCTGTTTTCCATGATTCCAAAGCATTCCAGAGGCTGTGGCACTGACTCATTGATCGTTATTACGAGGTTGTCTGCCTGTTCCGTCGATAGTCACTTTGGCGCCAACACATCTTGCCGATTTATATAATCCCGCTCATATGCGTACCACGAACCACATCATGCCCCGCATCTAGGCTCTTGACCATGGGGTATTGCCAGCACTGCCACACGCCCATAAGGGAGAGAATTGTAGCCTTGATCAAGTTTCGGGAATATTAATTGAACCGCTGATACAACAACACAGTTGCATGACAGCTATCAGATATTATCATGCAGTATTCAATCATTGGAAATGGAAACTGGCCAACTTAAACTGGCTGAGAATGAGCGTCTGGTCCAATGGGTCGGCCGCGCCGACTAGGCGTACTCTATATCGTTCCCGACACCGGAGAATATTGACCTTTGTTCGTCTGTCGACCTCTTCTTTGAGGGGTTGGATACGTCCGCGACCGTAAAGTTGAATGGTAAAGACATTCTCCGGAGTGATAATATGTTCCCACCTAAACGAGTGAATGTCAAGGACACCCTAAAGCCAAGTTTGGAGTTGAATGAGCTCTCGATAGCCTTTGAAAGCACCGTGTAAAGGGGATAGGAACTAGGTGAGAAATATGGGCACCCGGAAAGGCGTGATGCGGGACAAGAACAGAATGCATATCCGCAAAGCACGGGTGAGCTCCCATCCTCCAGAATGTGATGCCTGAATTGAAAGCTTGATCAGTGCCACTGGGGTTGGGACTAGGTTCCAGTTGTGCTGACCGTAGGTCCGTACCTACCAATCTATCTTCAGACTTATGCTGCGCGGATAGATAATCTGCACATTGTTTCTGACTTGGCATCTGATCACTCTTTCGCCGAAGTCTCGGTTGACTTTCAAGTGGTTAGAGAGAAGGTGGAAGCTCTCATGGTCAGGGTCCAGGATAAAGATGGTGTTGACGTCGCAGGGGTAGAAAGCATCTTGATGGTGCAAACAGCGGAGCTACCAAAGTCACCTTGCCGTCACCTAGACTCTGGTGGCCAAACAGACAGTGCGAGCCATACCTCTATCTGATCAAGGTCTAAATCCGAGACTCTGCTTCTGATGTCCTCGACGTTGTAACTCAAAAGTTGGGTGTTCGAACAATCGAGCTCGTTCAGAAGCCCTTAGACAATGCTCCGGGCAAAACATCCTTCTTCAAGGTCAACGGGCGATAGATCTTCAGCCAACGAGGGAAATGGATTCCAGCATATAATCTCCTGCCTACAATCAGTCGCAAGTGATACTTTGATTGGGTTCAATCGGCAAAGTACGATCATCTGAACATGCTCCGAGTCTGGGGTGGAGGCATCTACGAAACGGGTGATTTCTTTGATGCCTGTGACGAGTATGGCAGCCTTGTCTGGCACGATTATGCTTTCGCTTGTGGAGACTATCCCATTCCTCAGGAATGCCTTGATAGTATTAAAGCCGAAGCCGAAGCTCAAATGATTCGGCTGCGTAATCACGCATCGCTGGCCCTGCTCTGTGGAGGCAATGAGAACTTCATGCTCTGTGACTAGTTTGGAACGAAGTTTGACTTCTCTGAGAGGTGGGTTGACGAGGACAACCTGAGACACTCCGAGATACCTGAATTTACCATCTTGCGCACAATACAACAATAAAGGACATCCGAGCAACTCCCGTGTTGAAAGCATATGACTTCCCCACCAGCAGATGGGCAGATCTCCAAGGCGTCAATGCTCAAAGAGAGGTAACGCTGAACGCTGGGTATAACACCGAATTGAGAGCTCTGAGGCCCCACTCCAATTGGAGGGAGCAGAGTTTGACTATTCTCTCGGCAATCTTGCTTGATCTATCGACGAAGGAAGTCCTGGCTAGGATTGTCGACTGGCCTGAGCCATTCCGTCATTTTAGTATGGCTGCTGGATACCAAAGTAGACCTTTCAGTAACAGCGATTGAGGCTAGCCGAATAATGACGACGAGAATGACGGCGCTGTTTACGATGACAAAGACGTAGCAGAGCGAACCATACGGTCAAGGGAGTATGGCTGGAGCCGATACACGATGGACAGGAGACAGAGGATGAGCCCGAGCCATTACGGAATGACAATATGTTTGATCTGCTTCCTGGAGAAGAGTTCTTGGTTCGTGTCAAAGGTCTGAGAGGGTGACAAGTCAAAGCTCGCTTTCTGGGAGACTGGGAAGTGGGAGTATCGCAAACTCGACTATGATAGCTTGCATACGGACGCCGATATACTATGTTTCGTAACTGAGGTGAGGGCTGTGCAATTAGCATCCATCTCGGTACGAACCTGTTTTCGCTTGTCGAGGAGAAGGCTGAGCACCATGCGAGGCGCCTTGCTAATACGGGTGCCCACACCAAAATACATACTTTGTTAGAACCTCTGCTGTATGCGAACTTCAGGAGTTGCCCGACGTTGCCTTTAAACTGAGGTTCACCGGCTAGAGTATGACCTCCAAGAGGACCCCCATTGTCTGTCTCTGCTCCATAGGTTCGTTCAACGACTGGGCGGTGGCGCCGAATTACGTCTTACTGCTTGAGTCTGTCCTCCTTCTGTTGTTGATTAGTAAAAGACTCAGTGGAATAATCTCAAATGTACGCTAATCCCCAAGCATCTCAGGCTTCTGGAACTCAGTTCATCCCTCCCACTATATCAATTGGTTTCAGTCAGAGCACAAGACCATACCCGTTCGCGATAAACGCTTTGCCCAGGAAGTTAAGATCATCAAGTGAATCAATCTTTAATAACCGTGGGCCCCGTTGAAACCTGGAAGCACATGGTAGGTGCAGAAGTACAGGGTCTACCTGCTCGATGTGACGGTGGTCGATTGGCTGAACAAGCGTGGATCTTGCGGCGCGTTTCGAAGGGCAACAGTTACCTTGCTTCTTCACGCGGTGTCGATATGATTGTGAACACATGATAACGCCGGGGCAGTATCTTGAACGAGTACATGGAATGGACTCTGCACCGTTGCTTAATTAGAACTCATGAGAAGGGGTGCATCATGCATGTTCCACCAACCACCTAGAACAACTAATTGTACCAGGAAAGCTGGAATCTCCCACGAAGGAGATAGCACTAAGCATATGTCCGAGAAGGGACCCGAGTCCTTGGTGTTTCATTGGTTATGACATAGACTCAGTACCAAGTAATCTGTCCACACAGTGATTGACTGAAGACCAGGGACAGCTACTGTATGGTCATGTGGCCAGTGGGTCCTGGCAAGGGTACTGGAAGTTGCGCCAAAGTCCTGGGTGTCCACAAGGTGTAAAGGACTGGCCAATTTCGTGGTTTCCAAGAGTTGGACGATCAAGTACGGAGTACCCTACTTGCTTGATCACGGATGTTTTGGCTGAATCCATGTGGGAAATGGCCCAACGCGCAGGGACGGTCAGGTTCACCGCCTGAGGCTGAATCACGCGGATAGTTGAGTGGGAAAGGCATGATGAAATGCGCTGTACACAAGTCAGGTATTGGAAAGAAGCGGACTCCACCTCGAGTTGTGCTTGCTGCATATCCTATGCACAACCTGGACTGAATCGGCGTGTTCTCCTGCAATGTTTAGTGAGAGGAGTGAGCGCAGGACCCCGTGCTCAACACCACGAAGCTCAGGGAGGTTAGCAGATGCTCAGAAATGCATGGGCCGCATGCATGATCCAAGGGGCAGTTGATTGCCTCGCGCGGCGCCCGGAAGGCAACCATTTTTCAGAATATCTCTCCCAAATTGGCAACCATTGTCCATATCTGTGGCTTGTCAGCCTCGTAGCCGCCAGGGCGAAACTTGTGGGAGCGAAGGAAGTCCATGAATGGTAGCTACTCCGCGATCATCGACGACTGAGCTAATTGTATGCAGTCCGCCCTCCCTAACCTAGCATTAGGAAAGAAAGCAGGTTTACCACTTCGACTGTGTACTCCGTACGAGGTACATGTGTTCCTTGTCGAACGTGGCATCAAAGCTGCATGGAGAGTTTCAGGTGGGGGAAAACGTGGCATGTGGCGTCAAAATGACCAATCAGGATTCAATAATTGCACCGGATGTGGGCCTTAGGCGCCCCTTGGCGTGCGCTAAATGCGTCTACCCTTGTTGATCACGTTCCACTTCGATGCCTACGAGTTTATAACAGCTTCCTACGAGCAATCAACCCCTGAGGAGTGCTTGGAGTTCACAAACCCGCTTCCATCCTCAAGATGCCCCACATACCAAAGGTCAGTCTGGAAGACTTGGATAGCCATACGGAGTACCCTGTATCAAGCATTCCAATAAAACCTGGGAAGCCAACAAAGCGACGGGGCTCTGACCAAGCGAAATTATGGCTTGTGCGCATCCTTGTCATGGAACATCATGTCCGTGTTCCATTTCGGCTCCTTGCACCGAAGTCAAGTGCTACTAGTGTGCGCCTGGAAAAGGGGAGAATCTTCCTCCCGCTCTCCCACACTCTTGGTGAGAGGATTACTTCTATCGCTGGGGTTGCGGCTAGGGTCTGATGCAAGATAACGCGCGCTTGAGACGCTGAGCCAAGTTCTCCCTCCTACTTGGGAACCATTGGGGAACCCATTGGGTAGCTCAATCGATCATCTCCACCATGCCTGCAGATTCCTAGACTGAGCCCCCAAACACTGCACACACCCAAACAATCGGGGCACGATGAGACGATTCATCCGCACATGGGACAGACACGCTTTTAATAAATACTAGTAGCCGCCAGATGCCGCTCGAACTTTCGCATCGGCCCTCTCCCGCCTAGTTGTCGCTACCGGCGCTTCACCAATGGATCCAGTCTGCGGAGCTGTTGGTCTCGTAGCCGGTGTTGCTTCAATTATCACAGCTATCGGCAATTCCATTGTGACATTGCATAATCTTCGACAGAAATACCAGGAGGCCGAACTAAACATAAGGCTTCTAGCCAGTCACCTCCAATCAGTCCGCACGGCCCTATGTCGAGTGCAGAACTGGGCAGAATGTCTGTCCAGCGGGTCTCATCATTATCAACTGGTGATTGATGTTGAGCATAGTGTCGACCACTGCAGGATCCTGGTTGAGCACATTGATGATCAAATTACTAAATTTGAATGGGATGATGGACTGTTGAAAGTCGGCAGTAAAGCACTCTTTTTACTCGAGGACAAGGCCACTAGCGAACTTCTTACCCTGCTTGACCGCCAGATCAATGTACTCACCCTCTGCCTCGTTGCTTCACAATGGTATGGCAGGAGTCACCCTGAACTTGAAGTGTCTGCTGACCGAGATAGTCCCACTCCAAACGCTCAAAAACAGTTTCTGGAGAGAGATGAGACCCGAGTCGCCTTCGACCGAATCCAGGATGATACCTCATCGCTGATCGGATTTCGAGACTCCAGGTCGTTTCTTACTCGCAGAAGCAGGACCTCGGTAGAATCGCAATTTTCCAGGATATTTGATTTTGATGGTGTGCTGCTTCGGCATAAACCATATCAAGATACATTCCGGTCCATGCTGAGAAGAGCGGCCAGCCCCACAGATAAACGCACTTCTCAGTGGCCGAAGACTCGAAGCTTGTCCGATACACCAGTTGTTCAACTCGAAAGCGTAGCTCGAACAACGACAGCTAGAATTGATTCCGAACTTAAACAAGATGCACGTCGGTTGAGCAAAGAGATTAAGATCCTTGCAATTGGGGATAAGCATGGACGATCTGCTGTCATCAAGCAGATGAGAACCCAGTATGGACACCCATATTCTGAAGCGGAAGTGGAACAGTGCCGGCAATGCATCACTTCACTCACTATCAATGCTCTGGTTGCCATCATGGACTATGCGGAAGACTCTGGCAATGGTCTCGTCCGGCCACTCAGCAGGAAACATGCGCAGACTGTTCGTGCATTTGCGGCTTCAGCAGCTCCAGGCTGGATCATTAGTGATGGCGTGGCTTCAGCTGTCAAGTATGTCTGGGCCACCTGGCATGTGCGGCAAGCATATGCAGGTATGGAGCAACATGGACAAACAGCATAGTAAGCAATCGCTCTTGGGGATTCGCATCACCACGCCGCCGTTGCTGACATCTTGCCAGCTATCTCAATTCAATTGACAGAATTTGCCTCCCTGGCTATGTGCCCAGCAGAATGGATATCATACGGGCGCCGGAACCAATCGACACCGTGAAAGAGACGGAGTTGGTTCTGAATCCATCCTCGCCGCTAAAGGTGATTGAGCTCCAAGAGCAACAGGCATTGAAAATTTTGCCACAATTTGCAGGCGTACAGTGCTGTCTGTTTACAATCGACCTGACCTGCTACGACCGCTACCTCAATGATCAGGCAGGCACGAATGCGCTTCATGATCGCATATCCAAACTAAAGTACATCCTTTTGTCGCCGCATTTTAGCGACACTCTGGTAATGCTCATGTTCACCAATGGCTCTGCATTCGCGAAGCACATTATCACCTCACCCTTGCAAGGCCACTTCCCGGATTACAACGGTGGGAACAACGTGGATGCAGCAAGCAAATATATCTTGAAAAAGTGTAAGAGCGCAAATCTGAAAGACCGTGCGTTGGTGTGGCATATGTTCCTTGAGGACGAGGCGGAGACTGAATCGACCGCCAACTTCTTCAGGCAGTCTGCATTGTGCAGGGCAGTGTTTATGACTTATATATGAGAGAACAGGATCAGGATGAGGGACTTGCAGGCCAAGTTCTCAAGGGCAACGGCGCCGCAGGGCTGCCATGTAAGATGTACAATAGCTATAGGATAATATTAGTTAGTTGGTCGGGTGATAATGGAATGGAGGATTAGAAGTTAACTCATGATCAAACAAGGACAAGTATCCCTAGTTTGGGGACTGTACTCCACAACCCTGAGTCTACAGCCTGCTTGCGCCTGTGGGTGCCTAAACCCAACTAATCTTAATTCCCTTCCTTTAACCAGAAACCGGTAACAGGCCCCCAACGAACCCCTCCATGGCCTTGGAGGGGGCGAGAGGGGAAGATCTGCTAATCTGATAAATGCTCCTTCCTCCAGCCTCTTGCTGCCTCAAAGCGGCGAGATGGCGTCATCGAGGCGCCATTCTGTCTTTCTTTCTGCCGCGGAATATTCAGGAGCGGAAACAGGTCGAGCGTTAGCTAGCGATACCGTATGGTAACCGAGTATCATTGTAGGATTAATCATTCCACTCCAGTTAGATACCCTTGCCCTTGCTTGTCGTTTGCTTGCTTTGAGACAATTACTCAACTTTTGTTCTCTCCACTGCCTACCCACTACCTCCAGTAGCTGGTTGCTTACTGCAAAGCACTCCGTACTCTAGAACAATTTCTGCACTTTTATATTTCATCTCTTCACCCATCCCGATCATCTTTTGCGGTTTGTCGCAACCTGCTCTCCTGCTTCAATAATCCGGTCGCAATTATGGCAACCCTCACCGAGATTCAGACCGAAGACAGCTTCGACCAAGCCATGAAGGCCGGTACCTCGTCGACTCTTTTTGTTCTCTATTTCCATACTCCCTGGGCGGCTCCATGCGCTCAGATGAACACAATTCTCACCGCGCTTGCCTCCACGTACCCCGCCGATGCGACTATCAAATTCCTCTCCATCAACGCAGAAGAGCTACCTGATATCTCAGAGACCTACGATGTCACAGCCGTACCCTTCCTGGTCCTGCAAAGAGATGACAAGACATTGGAGACCGTGAGCGGTAGTGACGCCACCAAAGTCAGGACCACAGTTGAGAAATACGCTGGTGGGCAAGCCAAGAGTGTGAATGGCATCCCTCCTCCACTGCAGGCTACGCCCCAGCAACAGCAGGCCAACGGAAATGCCGACGGCAGTGCTCCTACAGCCACCAAGGACCTCAGTTCCTATGCGCCAAAATCTTCAGACCCTCCAACGGCGCCAGCCCAATCCTCTACTCAAGAGTCGCAGGAGGAATTGAACGAGCGACTGGGGAAGTTAGTTAAGGCTGCGTAAGTTGCATTTTCTCATCATTCTCTAGCCACGGATGATTTCTGACAAATTTTGGTATTATAGGCCAGTCATGCTTTTCATGAAAGGAACCCCTAGTGCTCCTCAATGCGGCTTCAGCAGACAACTGGTTAGCATTCTTAGGGAGAACCAGGTCAAGTACGGGTATGTATCTGAGACCAACGCTTGCCTTCAATCCTTACGGATTGTACTGACGCGAATACAACCAGATTCTTCAACATTCTTGCAGATAACGACGTCCGCGAAGGCCTCAAGGCTTTCTCTGACTGGCCTACATTTCCGCAACTATATACGAATGGTGATTTGATCGGTGGTCTGGATATTGTAAGATTTATTCATATGCATTCTGCGCGCTTATTATACCCCGTTGCAATTTCGAGACTAGACTTGTTTAAACTCTGACCGTTTTGATATCTAGGTAAGAGAAGAGATCTCCGCGGATCCTGACTTCTTCAAACCATTCTCTACCGCTGCGGCAAAACCCGAGGCAGAGGCTCCAACGGCGTCTGCATGAGCGTAATTATGCGCGATTTCGAAATGGGGCTTCACTTTCTCGTGGAGGATTTTAAATGGAAGAGCCCCTTGTATGATATGGACCCGCTAGCGAGCCCAACGCCACACCAGATTTCTGGACGTATTGAGAGGACGACTTCCATCTATACTGGCGCGAGATGATTCATGACACGTACATGGGAAGTGAGGATCACTACTTGCCTGCCCTTCCCCCCACCTGCATCACTTGCACGTCTTGATATGGAATGGGTTGAATAATGGATCAGAATTAGCAGAGGGAGTCCAGCACTCATGGAGGCATCTGCTAATTGACTTATTTCCTGGGACTTTCTTTATTTGGGCATCGTGGATACCTCGTGCATATTTTGCCTGGGTCGTGGCTCTTCTGTCTCGTGTATGAGTCAACAGGCACGTCGGACATAGGGGACAGAAAGCAAATAAATCCTACTGCTTACCTAACGCCTAATGATCAGTGTACCTAAAGGCGTCTGTGGACTACAACGCAGAATCGTGGTAAAGTACGTGCTTCGTCGGTGGCATTTTATGCTCTCCTGGCATATCTCTCGCTATTCTTTTGCTATGCTATGCTGCCGCTATATTCCTATCGCTATTGAGAATACCGACTTCTGGGACGGATACTTCCTAACTGACCAGTGTATATCCATCCTAGAACACGGCTCTCCACCTTTGTAAATGGTCGTTTATAAGTCGTGAATGTCTCTGAAAGAAAGGCGGGGAATCAACCCGTCAGTCTTCGCCTGCCGCTGGCATCTGTCTCTCCAGGCTGACCGCCTTGCTGGAAAAGTCCTGGTGCGCGAGGTACGCGCCCTTGAGCCAGCGCTTGCCGCTGTTGACGTCGAATTCGTTACGAGCGTGGACGACACGCTGGTTGTCGAAGATGACGCAGGTGCCGCTGTCCATCTTCTCCTCGACGACGTTGGCGGGGTTCTCGAGAATATCCGAGAAGGCTTTGCTGGCTTGGACGAATTTGACGAGCTCGGCGTGCGGCTGGCTGCTGTCGATGTTGCCGACGAACGGTGGGGACCAGAAGACGTGTTCGATGCGGCGCATCAGCTCCGGGTTCTTGGCCAGGAGGACGCGGTCGCGTGGGGATTGCGTGCTTGCGAGAATCGTGGGTTTGGTGTCCGAGTAGAAGAAGTTATCGTTGTCGTACTCGTACCGCACTTGGTGGTTCATGAGGGTTTGGACCATCTCGGGCCCGTTGGCCTGGCTGTACAGCTCGTCCACTGCCTTGAAGGTGTCGGCGAAGCGCGACTCGCCTCCGGTGCAGGAGTTGTGGATGCAGTGCAGAAACTGCAGGCCTGGTGGGTCGCGCATGTACAGGAGGTCCATGTGGAAACCTAGATATTTGGACGTGTATGCCACGTTCTTGGCTTGAGGCACGGAGCGCACATTCCACGTTGGGCCGTAGAATGTGTTTTGCAGTGGGCCCATCCGCTCTACGATTTTTCGTACAGAATCTTCGGATTCTGGGACGTTGTCGACGAAGACGAGGCCGTCGCGCCAGAGGAGATGAAGAGATCGCGCGAGGATAGAAGAGTTGTCCATGTACTCGTCAAAGTTGATGCGCGGGTTCTTCTCTGTGCGGTAAGTTTCATTGTTCCAGAGCTTTCGAGGCCGTTGGTAGAACGCCCAGTTGGCGTTCCGGAAAGGTGCCCGCAGCTTGTTGAGCTGTGTTGGGGTGAAGGTTGACTGATGTGAAGAATCCATATCATTCTTCCATTGAATAGTAGTAGAGTTTTGGTCGCTAGCGCTCATAGCCGAATGCACCTGAATGTTTATTGGTATCTCAGAGTAAGAATAGTTGCGCTGACGGTCGGAAGGGTCTATGCATTGACTGCATCGACAGGCATCTCGCAGGAGGATAGGCGAGGCTTGGTCAGCCGGACTGTGCTCTGGAGATGGCGGACTTGCCGTCGACGAATACTTCCTAGCAACATGGTGATACCTTATCCCCCGATCCGGCATGGCGGATGGGAGTAGAGAAGGTCCATGTCGATGTTTGTGACATGTAGTCACATCAAAGCGTGAGACCCGCCGTTTTATACTTGTACCGTACCCCATTTTCAGACTCGCAGCTTGCAAGGTGGTCATCAATTGAACGGGAGTTTATACTTTTCCTTTGGTCCGAGAAGGCGATACGCCCAGGCAAACGTCCCCCCAGGGCTTGTCGGGGGCAGTAGATGAAGAGAATAGGAAGGGAAACTCCTTATGGTGTTTGAGACAACATAAAATTCGAAGTTCCTAAGGTCGGAACAAAAGAAAAAGGAAGACGATATCTAGACGGAACCGCCATTGTTTAGCTATCCGCAAGTAGTCCCATAGTACCTAGGTCCTTGGTAGTTGCGTACTAATTAGCATGTGATGCACCTGAGTGGGTGGGTGAAGGTTGTGCGAGGCTGTGGGGAACCAGTCATATCAGGAGTTGGGTGGCGTCGGCTAACTTTCCATGATTGTTGACACCTTTAATGCTAGTAGAAGTGTGCTGTCGGCTAACTTTCCATGAGTAGGATACACGCTTGGCGAGGTGACCGGGGAAGGAGCAAACGTGGGAGGGACCGCAGCTGCCTCATTATGAGCTTTGGAAGCTGCACTTTGGAAGGCACCTGCCATCCGCCGTACACATACAAGGAACGGCCGACTCTGTTGCCTCAGAACTCCCATCACCGCTGACGAGACCGTACATTACGCATATCGTTCCTCCCTTTCCAAAACCTCTCAGTGTCGAAACCTCGATCTGCATTGCCTCTCTTGCAGTCGTCGATTCCTGTTGCCTGCATTCCTGCGCTGACAAAGCCTGCCCATCTCTCGATCACCCACGGCAGCCCAACCTCAACCCAACCGCCCGGTCTTCCTTCATCACCACCTGTCGAGTGCGGCTGCTGCATGAGATCGACTGCCTGAATCATCCATTCTTGTGACCACGTTCACACTGTGTGCTACCCCACCCTGTCATATCGCCCACATATCTCCGCGCACAGTGTGATGAAAGATGGTTGAAGGAGAACCTGGTACTCCCACATGGAAGTTCACCCAATGTTTTGGGGATAAAGGTGACGTCGAAGACATCACGGAGGCCGACATAATCTCCACTGTTGAGTTTGATCATACCGGAAACTACCTGGCGACCGGCGATAAGGGTGGCCGTGTCGTCCTCTTTGAGCGGAATGAGACTGTGAGTTCCCCTCCCCCACTGTATTATCTCCGGACTGATCCTCTTGGTAGAAAAAGACTTGTGAATACAAGTTTCACACAGAATTTCAGTCCCATGAGCCTGAGTTCGACTACCTCAAGTCTCTCGAGATCGAAGAAAAGATAAACAAGATCAAGTGGTGCAAGCGCCAGAATGCCTCCCACTACCTCCTTTCCACAAATGACAAGACCATCAAGCTATGGAAGGTCTTCGAAAAATCGTTGAAGGTCGTTGCCGAGAACAACCTCTCTCATGAATTGACTCCAGGCGGTGTCGGAGGTGGAGGTGCCCCTCGCCCGAACCATGTCCACTTCAAGGACGCATCGCAACTGAAGCTCCCACGGATGACCCATCATGATACAGTTGTAGCCGCTGTTCCTAGAAGAACCTTCGCAAACGCACATGCTTATCACATCAACAGCATTTCTGTCAACAGCGATGGCGAAACTTTCATCAGCAGTGACGATCTCCGGATCAATCTGTGGAATCTCAACATCCAAGACCAGAGCTTCAACATCGTTGATATAAAACCTGCAAATATGGAGGAATTGACCGAAGTTATCACCGCTGCCGAGTTCCACCCACAAAGTTGCAATTGGTTTATGTATGCCAGCTCTAAAGGGACCATCAAACTGGCGGACATGCGTGAAAGTGCGCTTTGTGACCAACATGCGAAACGTGAGTGTGAACCAGTACTGCTTGCATCACTGGCAACTAACAACAGCTTAGAATTCGAGCAAGAGGAAGATCCGTCTTCTCGATCTTTCTTCTCTGAAATCATCTCCTCGATCTCTGACGTACGTTTCTCACATGACGGCAGATATATTCTGTCGAGAGATTATTTGACGGTCAAGATATGGGATGTAAATATGGAGAGACAACCTGTGAAGACGATCCCTATCCACGAGCACCTCCGGCCTCGCCTGTGTGACACATACGAGAACGATAGCATCTTTGACAAGTTTGAAGTGGTCTTCAGCGGCGATGGCAGCAACGTCATGACTGGCAGCTACAACAACAACTTCATGATTTATCCATCAGACCCCGAGCAGGAGACTGAAGTCGTTCTTCAGGCCGATAAATCAGCCTTCAAGGCAAAGAAGGTTGGAGTGCCAACTCCTATCAATTCCACCAGTCCCAATGGAACCAAGAAAGGAAGCTCTAGAGCTGGAAGTCCTGCAGGAGGCGGCTCAGGCCAGGGTAGTAGAATGAGAAAAGAGACTGATGCTGACCAGATCGATTTTAACAAAAAGATCTTGCACATGAGCTGGCATCCATTTGAGGATAGCATTGCCATTGCAGCGACCAACAATGTAAGTCCCGTCGTTGCTGATTAATGGTTTATCACACTGATATTATCCAGCTCTTCGTTTTCTCTGCTCTTTAGAACAGTAAACCCCTGTCTCAGTGTGGCTGAACCTCTCACCGCGCCGAGAGAGGGCGAGAGGAATTTCGGAGCCTACTCCACCCAGATACAATCATCATACCGTCATCAAGCAGATGTTGAGGGGATTTACAAGGCCGGTATAGCCTCCGCTGGATATGGCAGCAATACATCATGAACCATAATGATGCTCACGTGCTCGCGTATGGCGTTGATGCACAGATTCGAGCAGAAAACAGCACGCGGTGTGGTGCTGACTGCACACTTGTTTCGCTCCAAATGGGTGGGCCTTATGTGACTGACTTTCTTGGATTTTATGCGATTGGTTCCTGCGCGAATGATGAAAATAAACCTAGATGAGAATGGAGCTTTGGTAGATGGACGATTCAACAAAGCAGATTCAGCAAATGAACACCAGCGACCCGAATGGGCTTTGGCCAGCAGCATAACCTTAGGTAATATGCATGTCGCAAGAGGGGAGTTGTGATGTGGAAGCGATCTCAGGACAAGGATAGCTCCTTGTTCGACGGTGCCGTGAGAGCCAAAAAGCAAGTCGAAAATAGTCGAAAAATTGAAAAATCATGTCATGATAACTGGGAGGTCTTACAAGGTCGTGATATTCGTCCTATGTGCATTCCAAGGCCTTCAGCTCTACGTGGGCTGCTCACTAGAGTTCCCAAACGACTCCAATCCCCTTCCTTGAACCAAATTCTGCTGCGTAGCACCATTCGTAGCACCGCCACCACCGATAGAGCCCGCCCCCATGCCATGGTCATTTGAAGGTCGTAGATGACTCGCACCTGACTCCAACCCATTCCTCACCGCTGCTAATCGCGAATTCCCCTGCTCCTCCTGCTGCTTTTGCTGCTGCAGCATGACCAGCTCCAACTCCCTCCCTGCCTCCTCTAAACTGGTCTGGATATGAACCTGACTCTCGACGATCTCGGTTCTCTCGCGCCGGATGTCCGCGCGCCGCTTTTCGATCCGCGCGCGCTCATACCCCAGCCTCGACGCCATCTCGCGCAGCCGCGCCAGCCCGGCGCTGAGCTTTGGGATAGCGGTCGTCTCGCGCGGCTGTCTTGGTCGTGCCGCGATCCGCCTGTGCGCGGCGTGTCCAGTCAGCCCATCCATACCCCGGTGCGTCTGCGCCGCCTCGTACGCTTGGTGTCGAGCGTAGTCGCTGTCGTCTGATCCGCCAGCTGCGGAGCCCCCTTCCGAGTCGTCAGAACCTTCGGCCTCGTCGATCATGCTGCGGATCGCTTCGCGGTCGAGTTTAGATTGCTCCTTCAGCGCCTTTTTGGAGAGTGTCACCCGCCCCGGGTCGTCGACGAACGACTCGAAGCCTTCAGCGATGTCCTCGTCGTCATGCACGAGCCGTGTGTCGGCTTCTCGAGCTGGGGCCAGGTACGAACCCACTTGTAAAGCGCGCGGCTTGAATTCTCCGTCAGAGTCGTATGCTTCGAGGGGGATGAAGTCTTCGTTGTCGTTGGTTTTGGAGGAGCTGGTATTGCTGGCGAGTCGTTCTTTCGCCAGGCGCGCCCGCCGCTCTTTCTTCTCACGGATCTCTGCAGCCGTTGGGATACGTGAAGATGATGACAGGGCCGAAGGGCCGAATTTGCTGGCCAGGTCGAGGGTGTTGTCGCCGGTGCTGGTACCTGCCTCTACTAGGTCGAAACCGGGGCTGTCTCCGGACGAGATTTCGCGCGGAGTAGACGGTGTCGAGTTGCGTAGCTCGTCTAAATATGCCTTGCTGTACGTGGGTCTTTCGTGATTCTGTCCCTCGCTACTGTCCGCCATAGTATCTCGCGTTGTCGCCACTCGATTTTGTAAAGTTTGCGCCGCACTGGAGAGGCCCAGTCGGGACGTCCTGGACGACAGGGTCGATGCGTCTCTTTGCGTCTCTTCACCACTAGTATGGCGGCCTTCACGACCATCCTCGCCTTCGTCGCCAGGGTTGAAGGATACCCGTAATTTCGACTTATTCTTCGGTGCATTGCTCGTGGTGGGTCGTCGCACGACGGGTCCGGTGTCTACAAGGTGGTCTCATTATCAGCGGTTTGGCCTGATGCATAGATAGACTAGAAGAGACTCAAAGCAACGTGAGCGACGGGCCTGACTTGATCGCCAAGGGGAGTGGTGATTGGGACGAGAGAGAGAGAGCTGTCGACTTACCTTCGTCCACATCGGCCTGCGCTGGTTCTGGGTCGTCTCGCGCTATGCGCTTGGGTTTCCGCCGGGCCGAGAAGAGTGTTGCCATAGTCTAGAACAGTCGTTGAGAACCTGACTGCTGGCTGAACCAGATTAATGATCACCAAAACTCGCAGTCCTATTACCCGTGATTGCTGGTGTCAAGAGGTATGGAAGGCACAAATTCAAACTACGGTGGGGCTTAGAAGGAGATATGCATGAATTGGTACGGTGGGTATTAAGGAATTTTCCCGCTGTTATGTTCGCTCTTCAGTACGCCTGTGTTTGGCATCTCGCAACCTAAGATTCACCTTCCCTCGAGGTAGCCGCTGTTAAGTACAATATTATCCCTTCTCGGCCGCAATTATCCAGGATCCGTAAGGAAAGTGGACTCCTTTCTTATCCGTTGTGACAGATTGCTCCCCTAGCCTATGACCATTTGGGCCTTTTCGTCATTTTCTTCCATCTTCATTCGAGTTCATTTCCATCGCGTCATTTGCAAGGCTGTGATTGGGGGTGTGATGCTCGTCGGCTTTACGTGCTTTGTAACGAGGAGCAAGCCAATCCCACAGCAACACTCCAACATAGAACGCGCAGACTATGCCCAGGACCGCGAAGTATGGTGCAGTTTTGTTGTCGTGAGCTAACTTGAAGCCTCTGGCACCGTTGACTAGTCCCAACACCAAGATGACCCGACCCAGGAGAAGATGGATCCATCCAAAGATACCTCGACGTTCAGCCTTTCGAAAGTACAGGTGTTGAAGAATACCGAGTACCGGTTGAACGCCGATCAGAAGACCAACCAGGACGTAGCCTAGTAGGACGTGTGGTGTTTCGCCTTTAGGTATGTGCCGCGTTGATGCGACTGAAGATCCCAGGCCCATGCCGATAATGGCAAGGATGACATTGACGACCTGCCAAGGAGCGTGAAGCTTTGTGACCTTCAGCTTTAGTGGAGATCGTGTCGTAAGTGCTGCAATGGGAATGAACAGCACAAAGGCGATGCACATCACTGCAGCGTGAGCAATGAGCGCCTTCTGTCCCGGGATCTCAACGCCAGGAGGTAAGTTGGAAGGATCAAACGACATTGTGGCTCGCTTGTATATGAACTGGGTCTTGGGGGTTCTTAGACAATGCTCTCGCTGCTAGATCTAGACTTGAGGCTTGGATGCTAAAATGAGTTGAAGAATATTGCTTCTCAGCATCCTGAGAACAAAGATGCAACGTACCTACATTTTATACTTCTGTATAAGAACTCCCCTGCTTTCTACAAACAGCACGACCATGGATTCCCGGCTATCCATCTCTCTGGCCCGCTTCGTTGCGTATCTGAACAGTGGTACGACCTTTCTTGGGAGGTATGAAGCCATGAAAATTGATACAAGATGTTGATCGCAGCCCGATCGCCGCCGGGCTTCCTATATCAGAAGCCAAGGAATGATAACAGTCGTATTCGCATAAATACGAAAGAGAGCGGAAGCATCTCCCAAAGCGGGGCAACTTCCGTAATACTTCTGCACAGTTCGAGTATCCCAAGCGAACAATCAGGAAAGGTTGGATACTATGTGAGGCTGAGTCGGTCGGTTACCCACAGCCATGGAGGTCTGCCGGTTCGGACCTGACAGTTCCGCCTGCAAGCCAAGCTTGATCTTCTATTGATGGGATTTGTATCAACCCAGGTTGGTCTCCTTGTCGAACTTACCATTCAGATGTGGCTTCCATCCAGATTCTCGCCAGCGACAACATACTCAACCTCTTAGTGTCGTGCTACTCGCATCTGGCAAAAATTACGTCCCGCGCCAACACGCTCGAGGGAGATTGCCAACCATGGGCCCCTTAGACCAAAGGAAACGAAATGCCAATGCGAAGCATACTGTGATTCAACGTCGATCACACACAAAGTCCCGCGCAGGATGCCTTTCCTGTAAGGCCAGGAGGATCAAATGCAGTGAGGAGAAGCCAATATGCGCCCACTGCAAGCTGAAATCGAAGATCTGCGAGTATCCAGCCCCAAGATTAAATCCGGTCAATCTACGTTTTGGGAATGGCTGGGCCATACCACTACCAGGACCTCCATGCCTTCCAGTCTCTTCGGTAAATGATGAGTTCACGCTACGAGATCTCAGGTTGTTCCATCATTTCCTCCATCACGCCTACCCCTCCCTACCGTTGGGTAACCAGGCCACCTGGATTCGTGATGTCCCCCAGCTCGTCTATGAGTACGAGCATCTTATGCATGCTTTGTTGGCACTGGGTGCATCGCATATTGGATCCCGTACCAGTGGCAACGACGACACAAACAAGGACAACTACAGTGCACTCACGCACAGGGGTCGTGCTATTGCAGGCTTGAAAAAAGCATTTTCCCGTAACGACAAATCGTCCTCTGAATCTGACGCAATGCTAGCCACTTGTTACGCTCTTGCATTCCAATCTGCTCATCTCTCAAATGGGGCTTTAGACTTTGCTACCTTTGTGCGTGGCTGTGCGATGATTACTCGCCGTATTCAAGACGGGGATCAAAGCACAATATTCAATCTATCCGCAGACCCTTCTCAGTGCCCCACAAAGCTGTCATACTCCCATGGCAGCTCGCTTCTGGACTTCAAGCTGTCAGCTTCGCTGGCAGATCTCCTTTGCCGGATAACAGAGGCTCTTGACAATGCAGAAGGGCACATGACTCGACATCAGGCAGAATGCAATTTTTATCATGCCATTCGTGCAACTTTCCTTGCACTGCAACATTCACCGGCAAAGGGCTACGCACAGTTCCTGAGTTTCTACGCCGTCTGGTTCAAAATGGCTGAGGACAGCTTGCACCTGCACCTCACGGCGGGTCCAGTATCCGACTCAGCACAGCTGCTATGGTCATACTTCATCGGATTGCAGCTATTCATTGTCTTAATTGTCAAGCAGGCTGCTATGGAGAAGGGCGTGTCTCTGCTTGAGGAAGATAGTGACCTCCGAAATGCGAGAATCTCGAAGCTCACCGCAACCCTGGGCTGGTTTCAAGCAATTGCGAAGAATATCCCTTTTGGCCTAATGCCCTTTATCAAATCGCCGCAGGGGATGGCCGAGGAAGTCACTGTTGTATTCAACGTTCCCAGCCCCACTGAGAAAGAAATCCAAAAGAAACTCGAGATTCTGCGAAACCTGGGCCTGAATGCTCATACCGTTCTAGTTAGTATCCTTGATATTTCTGCGACGCTGACCAACTGGACAGAGGCATGCCTGGCCAGAATGTCTCGGCTCGAGACCCAGCCTGCTTTTCGAAACGACAGTGCCGGGCCGATCACCTTTTCCAGTGACGACCATTCATTGTTGAGCTATGAAAAAGCTTTGGATCAGGAATGGAGCCGTCGAGCGTCTTTGGAGGTGGCCAGCATTGATGGACATATAGGAAGTATATCGTCTGACTATGTGGTGCCCGGCTCCGATGATGACTACTCGGCTTTGCACGAGGACCTTGACATTCTCTACCGATCCGATATGCTGCACTTGCATTCTAAACTCATGGATTGACCACACAGCCTTTAATTCATCAAATCACGGAATCTAAGTTGGTGAACGTCAACCAGGTTTGCTAGAGCAGACCTCTTAGTTGACTGCTAAATGAACTCGATATTTGTACTACCATTCTCTGGCACGATAACCAATGGAACCCCACCGTAATAAGATGGTTGCAACGAACATATCATACAATGCTAGATCCTACCTTATTGATAATTCGCTTTGATGGTCCCATAGAGAATGGGCCCGAGCTTCCAGCTTTCTCTCCTAGTGACTAGCCTGTCGACTCTTGCCCCCTCGCTCTGCTGTCGGTGCCACCCGACAATCCGTGATTCAGACTCGAACCAAAGACCGAAAACCCTTCCGAGACATGCAGCTAAGACGCATAAACCCATGACTTGAGCATTCGGCCGTTGAGATAAATTGTTGGATTCATGAAGGTAAATGCGAGTATCTAGCACCGTCGTGGAATATCATGGCACCAGAGAGCATCCAAAAGCGAAGAGTTTCTATGGTGAAATGTAGCTCGCAAAGCTGGGAGCAAAAGTGCAATGGATGGGTTTTGATCGCGTGATGAAGGGTTTGTTCGAGTCAGTCCCTAACAATAGAAAATCGTCATTCCCCAAGTGTTTTCGTTAAAGCGTCCAGTTGTTCCAGAACGGCACGCCGACTCGTCCCACCGGTGGCATCTTTCAGCTCGACCGAGCGCTCGTAATCGAATACGCTGAGCACATCATCGCCGAACCTCTTGTCAACGCCTTGAAATTGCGCGACGGTCAGTTTGTCCATGCCCTTGTTCTCATCTTCCGCAAGTGCGACCATTCGGCCTGCGAGATGGTGCGTCTCGCGGAATGGTACCCCTGCGTTTTAAAATTAGCAAGATGGGGATAGAGAACCTAGAAGAAAATAGATCTAGCTTACCTTTCCTAACTAGATACTCAGCAAGATCGGTTGCCAGCATATCTGGGCTCAGTGCGGCGCGCATCTTCTCCGGATAGACCGTCGCCGTAGCCAGCGACCTCGCTGCAATCTGCAGGCCGTCCTTCAAGGTCTTGATGGTATCTAACATGGGCTGCAAGCTCTCCTGAAGGTCCTTATTGTAGGTGGACGGGATCCCCTTGATGCTCATCATCAGGCCGGCCATTGACCCGAATATCCTGCCGGACTTGCCACGCAGGAGCTCAAGGGAGTCGCTGTTCTTCTTCTGCGGCATCAAGGAGCTCCCGGTCGTGTACGCATCGGCCAGCTTCACGTAGCCGAACTCAGAGGAGCTGTAGATGATAAGGTCCTCCGACCAGCGCGAGAGATGGCTGCCGATGGTGGACGCACATTGTAGAACCTCGACGACGAAGTCACGATCACCGACTGCAGACATGCTGTTCATGATGAGGCCGTCGAAACCTAGTTCTGTCGCCAGCTGCACCCTGTCGATACCGAAGGCATTTCCGGCAACAGCACCGCAGCCGAGAGGGAGCTTGTTGATGTTTTTCTTCGTGAATCTTAGGCGCTCGAGATCTGATTGGAAAGCTGTGGCATGGCTGAGGAGCCATTGGCTCCATCGGACGGGCTGCGCCCGTTGGAGATGCGTGTAGCTCGGCATGATGTAGTCTATATCCTGCTTGGCACGGTGGGCGATGACCTTGAGCAGATCGACCAGGTATCCCTCGATGGCAATTAATTCATCACGGAGCCACATGCGCATGTCCGTCGCAACTTGGTCGTTGCGGCTGCGGCCTGTGTGGAGCTTGCCTGCTACGTCTCTCCCGATCACTTCGCCTAGCCGGCGCTCATTTGCTGTGTGAATGTCTTTCGGGGTAAGTAATCAGCATTTAGTCTCTGGAATGGGCCCCGTGAAGTATTTTCTCAAGTGTTTGCTTAGCGTTCGCATTGAATGGTTTGACTCATCCAGATAAGACCCAACCGGTATATCATAAGAAACAGCAAGAGAGGAGCTCGAGTAACAAAACATCTATAGTTGCTTACCTTCATCTCCAGGGGCTGGCTGGAACTTGCCCTCTTCCCACTCTTTGAGAACTACCTTGAGACCTTCTTCAAGCTTCTCGAACTCCTTCTGGGTGAGTATGCCGGTCTTAACATTTGCCCTGGCGTAAGCTATTGAGCCTTTGATGTCCTGGGCATAAAATACTCGATCGACGGACAAGCTCTCGTTGTATTGGTTCATCAACGGGTCTATCTCTCCTGTGAATCTGCCGCCCCATAACCGAATCGGATTCTCATTTTTGGCTGATTGGCTCATTTTTGGAGTTTTGAGCAATCGAATTATGGAGGAGCAACTGGGGATGATGATGAAGAGATCGCACAGTGCGTGACCAGATCTATGACTGAGCTTTTCGAAGGACAGGGAAAATTATGCTACCGCCTTATGATGAGGTCGAATCCACCAACTAAAAATTATCTCAAAGCTTTGAAACGTTGCTAGGGAGTCTGGTATTCGGAGGAATATTCTTCCCGATCCGAAGCCTACGGTACAGTCACGTGATCTGGGCCTGAAACTGGACGAGTACTCCGTACCCGTTGCTCGTCATTGTTTTGACACCCACCAAACTCACAACCCTCGACCTTGGAAAGTGAGATTCTTATCATGACGAATGGAGAGTAGAGTCTCGAGGCTAAGGTTTTTAGGCCTGCCTTGAGTACCACAATTTTCAACTTATTGTTTGTCTTGGCTGTCAACCTGTCGACTACATGCAGCGTTATCATAGCTAAACATGCGTTTTCATGAGCGAACACGAAAGGACTTGAGAATGCCACCTATTTTCTCGTATTTTCCTCACTGCAAACCCATGTGCTAGCAATACCACATTTTGCTTCCTAGCATGCAAGTTCAGCCGCAAGGGGGACAGCCGGCTTAGTGTCAATTCGCCATTATTTCATTTCCACAGCTGGTGGAGTTCCCATCTACATGTCATCGAGAGTAGCAGATTTCTTTGAATATCCTTTGCGGTTTCTGAATGTGATCACTCATCTATTCACAACAAATCATGCTTCATCTCTGAGGGCGAGACGCCAAAGTCAGCACTACGTCGGTTGCAAATATACCTGAGTTGATACCTGCTACATGCGCCTGGGTAAGCAGGGCTGAAGCCACTCCGCCTCAAAAGGATGCCCAATACGGCGCTCTCTTTGAAGTTTGCCTTGGCCCTCATGTTCTCGAGGTAGCACATTATGGCGTGCGGCTAAGTTTGGGCAACTCCAGGAGTTGGCCGAGTTAGGCGATTTGGGATTAAACATTATTCATGCCTTAAGGTACGTTGCTGATCTTTCCAGGGGAGGATCGTAGGACCGTAGGAGGGGGGAATAGGGGCATCTTCTGAAGGAATGACTCACCTGTTCTCATTCTTTAATTCGAGAGCATGGCTCAGCACTTAACGAGAATAAAATGACGTCGAATAGTACTCTTCAACGAATGATATCCGATAACGCCTTCGCGAGCCAATAAGAACGGCATACGTGGTGATTACTTATCATTTTGGCTCCTCCAGACCTTTATGGAGCCGAACGGTTGGCCGGAGCCGCTCGAGATTCTAGTCCGTCTAACATGAGATTTAGATCTCGAGCCTGGAGGCTTATTCACCACCAGCAGATTTAGTAGAATACTTCCCCGTGAAGGATTACAGGGTTATAAGCCAGATCACCATGTTGGTATACTGGGCCGTAAGCCATGTTCGAAGCGAACCAATGGATTGGATTGAAGTTTCAAACGAATTGCACCAGGATACTAGGCGTTCTACGCCCTAGTGGGACACTTGGTATATCAGTCGCTGTCAATGGGCTGGCAGCTCCTTCTCTCCAAACGACGACGATTCTCCCACCCTGGTCTAACACTGGCATCTGAATTCGATCATTCGATTGAAAATGGCTGAACAAGAAATATCCACGGAATTTCCTTTTACCAAGAAGAGAGTGTCTGTTCTCGACTCATCAATAGCATACATTGATACGGGAGCACCCACTTCAACATCATCGACCATCATCTTCATCCACGGCAATCCGACCTCCTCTTACATCTGGCGGAACGTCATCCCCCATCTTTCGTCGATCGCAAGATGTCTTGCGCCCGACCTCGTGGGTTTTGGCGACTCGGGTAAAATGCCAGCCAACACATACTATCTCCGAGACCATGTTCGGTATTTCGGCGCGTTCATGGACACACTTCTCCCAGAATCTACCGACCCAGGAAAGCTTTTCTTCGTACTGCAGGACTGGGGTAGCGCAATTGGATTCAACTGGGCGAGTCAGAACGAAGAAAGAGTGGCTGGGCTGGTATTTATGGAGTTCATGCTTGCAGATATGAAACTCGACAATCTCCCGACAAGCGGACAGATATTTCGCGACTTCCGAACAGAAGACGTGGGTCGGAGGCTCATCATCGACGAAAATATCTTCATAGAGATCATCCTTGGCAGGGCTAGCCGTGCTGGCCGGGGTCTGGCGGAAGCAGAAATGGTGCATTACAGAGCTCCCTTCCTCGATCCCAAAAGTCGCGAGCCAATATACCGTTTCCCGAATGAACTGCCTTTTGATGGCCATCCGGCAGACGTGGACGAACGGGTGAAGGCATACTTTACGTGGCTGATGAAGACAAGCATACCGAAACTGATGTTTTGGGCCAGTCCAGGGGCTTTTATCTCTCCTGACAAGGCCAAGGAGTTGGCAGCTCAGATGAAGAATGTGCAGAGTGTAGATATAGGCGCTGGGAACCACTATTTACAAGAGGAAAATCCACATCTCATCGGGCGGGTGACGAAGGAGTTCGTTGAGCAGATTTGGCAAGAGAAGTAGCTAGAGATGTATGTGTACCTTCTGCCCATCCTCCTGTCGTACTTTTGTCTTCACATGTTCACTAAAATCACGTGCACCTGAGTGACATATATACCTCATAGCTTTCAAGTGAGGAATTCGAGCAGCCGAGCAGTGGCAGAGTTCCTTCGCAAAAGGGCCAAGCATCTATGATTTGCCTTATAGGAGGTGAACCATTTTCACCTCACTTCGATCTGTTGTGACTTTTTTCATTCTTATTTCCCTTCTTTGCAACATTACCACAAGCACTTCTAGCACCATCATGGAACATACTTATTCCTCTAATTTACCAAGTGTACTGCTATGTCTTAGGATCTTCACCCAACTAAGACTAAGGGCCTAGGTAGAAGTGAAAGTTGACTGAAATTCATGAAGATGTGGGTCTAATCTACTTCTAGAGCGTACGGGTACAAGGTGCCTGTTTTATTTTATTAGGTATAGGATTGATATATGCAAATTCAGGATCGACAAGCTTAGATGGTATATATTTAATAATATCAGATTCAGAAAGATATGTAGATTATTCCACATGATATAGCCACAGCAACTGGTCGTGGTGTTGCGCATCCGACTTCCCTACGCTGTGCCCGTGCTCTGAGTCTTAGTGCTCTGGCCCCCGTTTAAGAACGCCTCTCGCCCCTTGCTGCATTTATTGCTCGCAGTGTTGCTCCTCCTGTTGACGGCTCTGCTGCCCTCGCAGCGAGAAGATTTGATCAGTTTACCATAATATATGGAAAGTTGCAAAAAATGACCATTCGAAGGGGCTAGCTTGGATTCGCTGGGCAGACGGCTTCTTTTGTGGTTGGGATGGCCACGACCTTCTTTAGGAGGCCAAGTTTCGGCCTTTTGCTGAACGTAAATATTCCAACGTAATTCCAATCCCTTCTTTGGCTTTTGGATCAGCTATCAGGGGGTTCTGACGAGATAGATACTTTTTAGTTCGTTTAATGTGATGTATCATTATTTTTGTGGGGCCTTGTGGATTCAGAGTCCGCTCCATGCCGCTCGACCTGCGCCTCGCAATGGAACCTCAGCGGACACAGGCGGAGAAGTCGATGTTCACAACACTCGGCAAGCAATGTTGAAAAACATTTAAAACAACCTGTCGCCCCAGTGTTGTGTGGGTTAGAATCTGTCAACCTCTGCTCACTTTCCTCATTGAATTATTATTGCTCTCCCAACATAATGCCGCAGCTCGTATGGCTTGTGACCGGATGTTCGTCCGGGTTTGGAGAGCAGTTCGTCCTCGACATTATCGCGCGAGGAGACAGTGTGATCGCTACTGGGCGTAACTTTGACCAGATCAAGCACTTGGAGGAGCACGGAGCTACTATATTGCAACTGGACCTCACGGATCCGCAAGACGTACTTGACGAAGTGATCTCAGCCGCCGTCAAGGTCTTTGGCAGAATCGATGTTCTCGTGAACAATGCCTCGTACATTTCGATAGGCACTTGGGAAGATCTCGAGTAAGTGTAGGGTATATTTCGGATCCGAGGTCATAGCACTGAACTTTCGATAGGTATAGTGACCTGGTGGCACAATTTGATACGAATGTGTTTGGTACCTTCAAGGTGACAAGGGCAGTTCTACCATATTTTCGATCTCAAGCGAATGGGATGATTGTTTTCATTGGTTCTCTTTCTGGCTGGATTGGACACCCCGGCTGTAGTGCGTATGCTGGTTCCAAGTTCGCTCTTGAGGGTAAGTCACATCCATTACGTTCTCGGCGAAATGTTCATCTTGATTAACGACATGCAACGAATAGGAATGGTAGAGGGCCTCACCCAAGAAGTTGCACCGTTTGGTATCAAGACTCTCTTGATTGAGCCAGGAAGATTTCGAACCAACCTATTGTCCGCCAATAAGATGAAAGTTAGGCCATCCAAGATCCCTGACTACACAGAGTTTTCCAAAACTCTTCTTGGATACCTCGGCAATGAAGACCAAAGGCAGCCAGGAGATCCACGAAAGCTTGTCAGCGTTATCCTTGATGTTGTGAGGCAAGAGGGTGTAGCAACTGGCATGGACGTGCCAATTCGGCTGCCACTCGGAAGCGATGTGTACGCCGATATCAAGACCAAGTGCGAGGAAACACTGAAACTCCTGAGAGAGTGGGAGCCAGTCATTCAGAACACGAACTATTCGGATTAGGTTTTCCTACTTCAAAAATGGATTCTCCGGCTACGGTTTACGGATTTTATTTACGGCTGCAAGCATGGACTCCTCTTACTCATGTGATTTTTGTTGCACTCTGTGGTTTCCTTCACTCTCGTACCCCCAAAACACATGACCCCCCGGTAATGATAGTGAATATTTAGGAGGTCATACCATTTCATTCCTAAATTCTATTGTCCGAAAGGACATTGCTTCCCTGTTCGCAGGGCTCGTGGGGTCGGAAACCCAACTGCCTCTGAGACAGATTGATACTGGGTCCCACCGGACAAAGTACTAGCCGCGCTGTGGAGATAGGAAAGCCTTCCCCTTGGCAAACGTAGTATGAGCTAGAACATCTACAGATAGCTTGACACTTTCCCTCTTCAAGTAGAGGATATATCGGAAATCGATATGGTAATCTTGGACTTCTTCCAAGCTCTTCGTTCTATGCGGATGCGACTCTCCTCTCTCCTCGAACTCCCTCAATTCGTTATCTTTCTTCTTATTGGCGGAATGCATCCAAAATATCGAAAGACAGCATGTGATAAGTCCTGAAAGTAAAAGCCCCAGCGCGATGGCGTGGCCTTTGATGAACCTCGGTGAAGTGTCATAAACGTGGGACCCTAAGATCGAGAAGCAAGGCCCGAATACCTCCGCCAATGCCCAAGCGGTTGCTCGCTTCGTGTAGCCGCAGGTATTCGAGAGAAGCCACGCATTGAGAAGGATGATAGAAGGATATAGGCCAGTGGTCGCGATACAGGCCGCGGCGATCTTCCTAGCCATAGAGACATTGGATAGCAACATAGCATAGCCGATGCAGCTTAGCGAGAGAGTGCCAATAAGAAAGACGCCCTTTTTGTTGAGTCGATCCGAGATTATTGCAATGAAAAGTGTAGTACAGGTACAAGCGTAAGAGATTACGGTAAACAATTGAGTCCGGACTATGTCATGTCTTAGTCAACAAGCAGCAGTTGCTAAGGGATTGTAAAGTACTTACCAGGGGAGAACCCCAGCTCATGAATAAAAGTTGGCAGGAAATAGCCTACTGATGATATCCCATATCCAATTCCAGCATTCATGAATGCAAAACCCCAACTTTTGGACTCCAAGAGGGTCATCAAGATCTGTTTAAAGTCTATTTTGAAGTCGGTGGTGTTGTACGCTGTGTGAAACTGTTAGTATCTTGTGCATAAATGAGGAGGATGATCCTGGGATACGTACAGGCGCTTCTGGATCTGGCAATTTCAATTTCAGCAGGTGTGAAGAGCCAGTGTTTAGTCTTCATACTGTCGGTGAATTTTGGCAATAAAACCCAGATTGCGACTCCGGCGGTCATAGCGATGCTTCCCTCTATTACGAACAGCCATCTCCAGCTCTCTTTACCCGTGTCGTCCAAGGTGAGATTTTCACCGGCTCCGTAGGCTCTGAGGCCGCTGAAAGCTCCAGAGAACGTGGCAGCCCAATAGATCAAAGCAGTGAACAAGTTTAGTTCTGTTTTGCAAATATTGAGATACTGTCAGAGACTTACCTCCCCTTGTAGCAATCTCATCTCGCTTATACCAAAGACTGGAGTACAAGCTGATGCCTTGTACGAATGATTGAGCTGATCCCAGTAAAATACGAAGTGAAAGGGCTGTTCCAAAATTCTGAGCTGCAGACATTGCTACGAGAATGCCTCCAAAGACCAGTGCGGTACCACCAAGTTGACGGGGTGGAGTAAGCGGTCGGAGAAGGATGTTGCCAGGAAGCATGAATACCAGGTATCCGAGAACTAGACATGTGTCAACGGGAAGACATCAGGGGTACATCGATTGGATGATAGCGCACAAAATAGAGACAGGCATTGATAGAACTGAGAACTGATCGGAAGTAAGGCTCAAATCTTTCTGCATTCCTAAGACTCGCGCATTCCCAATGCTGTTGCGATCCTAGATGGATAAAGATGCGTTAGCCTTCAATGGTACACCCTCAAGCTGTCGCGTCGGAAGAACAACGCATCATACCAGATACGCCACCAAATACAGCAATGCGCAGAGTGGGACGATCAGGAGATCTGCCTTTAATACAACTGCACGCTCTTCTTTGCTCTTGCTGTGAGATGTACCATCTTCCGCAACGTAGACAGTTGATACCAGTTACGCTTCATCCGTGGATCCACTCGGGAAGGCATCTTGGACATGCTCAACACCAGCTTCAGCTTCGTGCTTCATTGTTCGGGCGTTCCAGATTGCGATATTGGAAAACTTTGTAAAGTCCAAAAGCAGGTTGAATTGGGCAATCTCATGCAGGGATTCGCTGAGGCTAGCTACAAATGCGTTTGAAGGCCCAAAAGTTCCAAGAGCATCAAAGATGCGTTTGCTGGTTAGGGTCTGGCCAAGCATATGTAGCCAAGTATCGATACGATCCGGCAACCGGTCCGCTTTGCGGGAAACACCTTCTCCACCCCATCCGGTCCGCTTGTCATCTGAGTGTACCGCATACAGGACGCACGAGAATCCGAGTGAATATGTTCCAGTAGAGTCATAAGAATGGCGTGTAAGAAAACGGACGGCGAACGCTCAACGACGTTCGCGAACTGCTCTTGCTACCTGCACTCCCTCCTTACGAGATGAACGTTGACAGTATGAACGGACTTGGTCCCAGCGAGTCGGGAACTCGCAAGACAGCCACTTTGGTAGACACAAACTTTGAAAGCATACCTGTCACGAAGATATTTGCCGAGTTTGTTGCCAATCTCACGTATGAGTCTATAGACCCAAACGTTGTGCAGAATTTGAAAAGGCTCCTCCTCGATTTCGTTGGCATAGCACCGTATTCTGGGTCCTACATTGAGTCAAGCGAGGCATTTTATCGAGCCATAAATGCCTTCAGTGGTGCTGGCAGCTGTACTGTCTTTACCAAAGGCCAGGGCCTCCTCCCGCATTATGCTGCACTTCTGAATGCGGCTTATTCACATACTCTGGACTTCGATGACACTTTTGCGGATGGTGCACTTCATCCTGGCGCATCAGTGATTGCAGCTGCTCTTACCCAAGCCGAAGTATCTGGAGTTGGTGGCAGGGCACTTATGACGGGGCTTGCAGCTGGATACGAGGTTATATGTCGGCTCTCAAGGGCACTTGGTGCTGGGGCCTACGAACGAGGATTCCACAACACAGGTACAGCCGGTGTGTTTGGCGCTGTGGCTGCCATCATGAAAGTCAAAGGAGCTTCTGCAGCAGCTATCGAAGCTGCCTTCGGCTTTGCCGGCTCGAAGGCGGCTGGTTCACAACAATTTCTGGAGAACGGGGCGTGGAATAAGCGCCTGCACCCAGGCTTCGCTGCTCATGACGCTTTTCTGTGTCAGGCGTTCGTGGAGCAGGGAGTACCTACGGCAAAGAAGTCACTCGAGGGCATTTTCGGTTTCTTGAAAGGATACAGCTCGTCTCCCGAAATTGGAAACATGGTGGACGGACTGGGAGTCCAGTGGATTCATCTCAAGACGGCCATCAAACCATACCCTGGCTGCAGGATGACTCACACGGGTATCGACCTGGCAGAGAAGTGGAGGAAGGCTAAGACAGTCCCGATCAAGAGCTTGCGTCTTTCTTTGTCGCCACACTGCTGGATGATCGTTGGCCGGCCACTATCTAACAAAATCCATCCGAAGAACACTGTCGATGCTCAATTCAGTGCCTACTACCAACTTGCTGTTGCTTGGCTGGATGGCAATGGAACAGGGTGGAATCCGTACGATCGTTTTCATGACGACGATATCTCAGCTGTCACAGATCGAATTACGGTGGATGCAATGGAAGACTTACATGCTTTGGCTGGAAGATTGAAAATGCACTGGCAAGATGGTACAACCACAGTAGACGTAGAGACGGACCGCATTGGAGAAGCATCCAACCCTTACTCTGATGAGCAACTTCTCAAGAAGTTCAAGTCTTTATCAATTCCAGCCTATAGAGAGCAAAGATCTGACGAAATTGCGAACACTATTGCAGTTGTTGAGCAATGCAACAATGTAAAGGATCTGATGTCACTGCTGGCTTCGGATACGGTCAGCATCTATTTCACTTTCCTACTCTTCTCAGGTAGAGATTGGCAGAAAAGACAGAGGTAGCCCACTTCGCATGTGTTGATTAATTTATATCATAGTTGGAACAAATGATGTATGTAAGCTCGATAGACGAAAAAGGTCACCCCCCGGTATTCCACGAGCTCTCCCACCAATTCAAAGAGATCTGGCGCCTCTGTCTCCTGTTTCCAAACCTATCCGCACACCGACATGAATGAAATACCCGAGGTAAGTGTCACACCTCTGTGGTATGTTAGTAGCACCCTTAGGTACCCGTAAGAAGCGGGGCCCGCGCCAAGGCTCTGCGGTCCGGAACGCGGCATTTCTCGAGATTGGTTCTCTCCCAACCTCTCTCCCTCTCGGATCCATCTTGTATGGAGTCATCTTACGCTTCGATGCCGCACCTTCCTCCAGCTGGTTATCTGTCATGTAGTCAACTGCTTCCGGGCGTCGCTTCTTATTTCTGCTTCCTTCCGCAGAGCGCTTGCTGGTACATGGTCTATCTGAGAGGTTATGTCAACTAATCCAAAATTAACATCTTCCATTGACTCTCGGCGTGCAGCCCCAGTCAGTGGTCAGTCTGATCCTATTCCAGACCAGACTATCTCGTCAATTAACCTATTACATCGCTAATTCTACCATTGGATAGGAAGCTCCGAGAACTGACACAGGAGGTTGAAAGACTACGTTCTGCCCAATCAGAGACGACGAATGGGCCCCCTCTGATCCAGGAATCCTTCTCTTCACCCGAGAGAAGTAATGGCGCACCCAGATATTTTGAGGCCTCCAATCCAGTAGACAATGCTCCTGATTCCATCTCGCCAGCTATCTCATCGGAGATCCAGTTACATGGGACGCGTGTATCAGGGCAGAATGCGCTTCACTCTGCGCTAGAATTTCACTCGCTAGGAACCGCCACTCTGTCACCCTACGAAATCGACAGGTTATTTCAAATGTGAGTAGAGGAAGTTCCATCGAATCCTTTACTAATAGTGAAGAAGTTTCTTCGAACAATATCATCGATACATGCCTATTCTTGGAGCCTGTGTTCTCCCGAGGATCTGTTCTCGCACTGTCGTTTACTCTTCTGGACCGTCATTGCCACCGTATCGAGGAGGGATGAAGAGGAAGCCACGCTTCTGGCAAGCCTCAAATAAACTGTCCAAGCGCTTCTATGGCAAACCGTGTTCCATCCTCCGCACTCACGTCTCGAGATCAAGGCAATGATCTTACTTTGTCTCTGGCCTTTTCCGACATCTTCAATGTCGACAGATGCCTCGTATATTCTGGCATCTGTGATGAAAACCAGTGCAATGCACGTGGGAATCCACAAATCGCAGTTCGTGCAAGACTTTTCGCGGTCCAAGTTTCGATTTAGCCTGGAAGAACTAAATGAAGCCTTGACAGTTTGGTCGGCCTGCTTCATAGCTGCCGAAAGGTAAAAACTTGCAACATTTCCTCTCTTAAGGTGTCCACCTTTCGACTAACAGTATCGAAGTGTCACTGGCTTTATCGGATAGCAACCTCTATTTGTCACCGATGCAACATTAGATATGATTTGCAAGCCCAGTAACCTTCATCATCTACCAGAAGAACTATATCATCAAGTCCTCATCTCGCGCTTCTGCAATCGTTTTCACAGAGTCATGGCGGGTCGTGAAAGGAGGATTGGCAGTTTAGGCGAGAACGACAGTGGAGTTCTGCTTCCACTTTATGAAGGCGAATTGAATGACCTTCAACGAGACATAGGACCCAACTTATCAAGTAGGTGCTCATTCTTGAACTCTGCCTATTGTACTATACGGTGACTAAGTCCCCAAGAAACGAATGAGATTGTATTTCTCCATGCTGCACTCCAGCTTCGGAGCTACTACCTCTTAGAACGTTCACCAAAAACTGCGCTCAAAGAAGGCATATTGAAAGCATATCGAGCGGCACTAAGTCTCATCGAGAAGTGCCAACAAGAAGAGACGGAGTCAAAGCTACTCACATGTGGACCTTTCTTGTTCCAAAGGGGTCTCTGTGTTGCTTGTACGTTTGGGTTGAAAGTCCTTCGGAGTGAATATGCACAGCTGGTTGATGCGGAAGAAGGGCGCAAGGCGTCCAACCTCGGTCTTCTCTCTGATGCGTAAGTGCTCTATCGAAGACAACGACCTCGCAGGAAGGTTTTCGAAGATTTTCGCACCGCTATGGAACGCCACCTCGGGGAATCCCGCTGGGAACGGGGAACTCAAAGTACGAACTCGCCTTGGAGGGAGTCTACTCCACGACACCCTTTGGAAGTGGAGGGAATATTTCGGGGGACAGGCCTCCAGTAGTATACCTTCGACGTCTTCTGCCGGCGGCAGCTGCTTCCCACACATCACCACCGGGATGAACCAAATTGACTTATCGTCTCAAGCACATCGACTTGTGCAAAACTCCGGCAAGCGCGGTCAGAACAATAGCCTTGATTCCGACACCGCTGTTGCTGGACGTTCTAGCATTTTCTCACATCCGGGTCGCGAAGAACGAAATTTATCAAAGGCCACAGCAGGATGGCCGGGAGGCATCTTAGGTGTAGATGTGGATTTGGTTGATGAAATGAATCAAGAGTGGCTCTGGAATGGAGGCGGGCTTTCGAGCTTGTTGGCAATGGACCTTGACACCATGGATTCCCCATTGGGGCACCTGGGTAGTGGCCAGAGCGTGGATATCTTGAACGAAAATTGAAGGGAAAGTTGTTCGACAAAAGTGTGCTATGGTTGCAATAACAAATCGATTTGCAAAATGCCAAGAGGTAGTAGGATCATTAATTTAAGTATATGTCCCGGAAGGGTAAAGTTTTGAAAATCTCCTCTCCATCAGGATATTATGGCATCTCAACCATAATGAGCGCTAGTAACAGATACTTCTCTCGAACAATCCAAGGAAAGGGACGGGATAGAATGGAAAGCGCAAGGCTGAGCCTCTAATCACGTGATGCCAAGCGCTTGAGGCAAAACATCTCCACCATCGGTATTGAGCGTAGGGCGGCATGGCATGCGTCTCCGAAAGGTATCAATTTTGATTCCATTCCCCAAAACTCGAATTGCTTGGTGGGTAGGTCACTCAGGCATGCAGGTCAACCAGCACTCTTCTGCTACCCTTTCCATGTGAACCTGAACACCAGTCTGTTGTCCTATAAAATAAACAATCGCCTCCTCGTCCTCTCCGCTTCACCTCATCACACCACCCAAACCCTCCTATCCAGGCGCAAACCAAACCCAACCAAATTCACAGCCAAAGATGCCTCAAGCGCAACCCGAACTCAAGAAGGTATCCATCCCACCGATCATCTGATCCTCTCGTCTCGGCAATGATCTACTTCCTTCTACACGGCAAGGTCTCATGGCTAACGCCGCGTTTTGTTTTCTCTCTAGTATATGGAAAAGCGGCTGTTCGTGCAGCTGAACGGCAACCGGAAAGTCATCGGCATCCTGCGCGGCTACGATGTGAGTGATAGCCTCCTCTTATGTCTTAGACACGACCCCCTGTGTCAATTCATACCGCCCGCGATGCTGCACCATGAGTACAAACCTAGCAAGAGTCGCGACCTATCGTGAATACATGCGTTGTTCATGGGGGAGAGACGTCCGCCTGGAATCGGCGCGGGCGTCGAAAGGGAGCTGCACATTCTACACCTATCATTGCGCTCATCTTTGTTTCTCCCCCCCTGAAAACATCCACGAGAGACGGACCAGAGCTGACGTGGCCATCTATAATAACAGGTATTCTTGAACATCGTGCTCGACGAAGCAGTTGAGGAAAAACCAGGTGGCGAGCGAGAGAGGCTGGGCATGGTTGTGATCCGAGGCAACTCAGTCGTCATGCTCGAAGCGCTGGAGCGCATGGGCGATGATCGTCGATGAGCGATCGCACCGGTTGCTGGCCTGCTGGAAGGAGGGAGAGTTTGCTATTATGGCACGCGCTCGCCTGGGTGACTTGCTCGAGGCTAGAGTGTGAGTCTTGGGAGACAATACTTCATGTTGTTACAAAGCCAGCTACGGGGTATCTTTGATTCCTTCCGCCGGGGGCTCTCCATGCATCACCATATATGGCAACCAGTCCTTAAACACCCGGTTTTGTCCAACGCTGCCGCCCCTAATCCAACAATCAACATTATAACTAGCTTACGCTGGCTTTGCAGCTGGTTTGAATTTCAATACTACCCGACCAGTCTCGGCGGTTGGAGTCGGCACAGGCTGTGATGGAGGCGGAGGAGTAGGAGTATGCACCGAAATCTGACTTGAACCAGCGCTGTTGCTACCACCACCGCCGACACCTGTACCGAATTTCAGCTTCAATTTTACCCCACCTCCACTGGGAGGGGCAGCCGAGGGAGCAGGGACTCGTGGCAGTGGTGGCGGGAGCACATTATACTGTGAATGACCATTGACAGGTAGAGGAGGTGGTTGCCATTTGGCTGCCTGGGATTCTGAGGCAGGATGCCACTTTGCCAGGATCTTCTGCCTGACTTTGGGAGTCCTTGAGAACTTCAGTTTTCCCTGCAGAAATATGTCAGCTGAAGTAGTCCGCATATCACGAACAAAGCCGATTCAAAGCTCACCTTGCCTTGGTTCTCTACTTTCCAATACCTAGGTAGACGTAGAGTAACCTTCATTTCATCGACAGGTTCGTAAAGTAGACGACAGAAATCAAGCATTGTCTGAAGATCTTCAAGCGTGATCTGGTCGTAAGATATAGCGTTCCATAATGCTGCTTTCAATGCTTGGTACTCGGCGAGCTCTTTCCTCAGCGCTGCAATCGCACCTTCTATGGTCGATCGTCGAGCGATCTCGTTCTGACGATCATTAACAAGTGCTGCTGTGTCTTCAATAACGAGGCCGTCACCACCGTGAGGTTGAGCAACCCTGTTGCTTTTGATGCCAATGGCGCGCTTGCCAAGAATTTCACCAAACATACGCTGCAAACCCTGGCGGATCCAAGGTGACAAATCCGCAACCATACAGTACAGCACGTAACGAAGTATCGATGCATTCTCGAAGATAGCTGGTGTGACAAGAACCTTGTACGCTGCCTGGCGAAGCATGTCGTAGTTACCTGGCCGTGTGTATTGCAAGAAGTGGAGCGGTGAGAATTCACAAATTCCCGCAGCTGCCAGCATGCCCTGGCATTCGAGAGCAGTGCGAGAATAGAGATTCTGGTAAGAGCTTGTCCATTCATCCATGCGCCTGTAGCGGTCGATCTCCTCAAGGAACTGCCGCTCGAACACTTTCAACTCGTGAATTTCGTCTTCCATGTCTAGATCCATATCTCCTTCATCAATATGGTGATGCTGGGGTCGAGCTATCACAGCGAATGTGAGACCTTTCATCAGTTTAGCAATATAATGTGCATCTGAATAATCATTCGTCGAATTGTCGTTGAACTTCAACTTGTCAAGTAGAAACTCCTTGACATCTTTAGGTGCATGTCCCTTCGAATCGCGCACATTAGAGATCGCTTCAATAATCTCGCATTGCAGGAGGTAGGCCTGAGTATCCGAAAAGTCATTTGGACGAGTTATTGCCAGACCCTGGTCGTGCGTGCAATAGAACTCTTCGAACGCCTTTCGAAGGTGGAAAAGTCCAACCATTTTGGCATCTCCTTCGTCCTTCGCATGCTTCACCAACCCCTGAGCTGCTAGCGTACGCACTCCGTGAAAATAACGACGATCCATCAATGTGCGGATGAAAATTGATGAGACTAGCGAAGATGGAGGATAATGGGACATTTGCCTCACCGCTTCAAGTTGTGCGACCACATCGCGATCTTGCTGAAGCTGTGATGTGAACATATAGCCTGGCATCTGTAGATTGATGCGGCAGATCCACTCAAAATCAGCATCGAGTCGAATCCATTCATACGATTCGGAGTTCATTTTTTCCTCATCCTCTACACTCCACTCCGTGATCCTCCAATTTTGGACATCTTCCTCGGTCTGAAGCACATCGCCCAGGCAGTAAACAAGGGAATCGGTTTCTTCCTCCAAGTTCTCGGCTGCGGCCTGTTTATTCGTTCGAGCTCGTTGTTTCTTGCTCCTCTTGAGACGTTTGTACTTGGTGTTGTAGGGAATATCAAAGGTGGTCTGAGCGTCTTTGATTTCGACCGCGTGTTCATATGGTGTTCCATCCGCTTCATGGATGCGAATAGTCATAGGACCTGTGAATACTGGTTGTGCAGGTGCAGCCCAGACGGATTGGAAATCTTCACGAGCATCACGCATGAATGATTCAGGATTCAATTCGGATTCAATAGAAGTGCCTTGGGTCTGCTTGATTAGCATTTCCACCACGAGCTTCTTCTTATTGAACCGCTGAAATGCGGCGAATCTTGGACAGCCAGCACCTTTGACCCATTGAGCCATGAAATCATCGATAGGTCCATGATGAAAGCGTTCGCACATTTTCTGAAACATGTCTGTCGACAAAGCGTTGTCAGCAAGATCACCCGTGCGGGATCTCGTCAGAATCTTAGCAAGGATATTTGGCATCTTGGAAGCTCCATGAACCTTGGCAAAGCGACGGTCTAAGATGAAAAAGACCACTGGGGCTTTGACAGTGAGAAACTTGTATTCACTGGGATCTACATGTAGGAGTGCACCCATATCGTAAATCGATGGTCGATCGTGATCCATCTCGTAGACAAGATCTGCTTGCTGCTTTATGTGGTAACGATATTCGTTGTTGCCACACAAGTCTTTCATGATAAGATCCGTAACATAATAAGCTGCTCCTATGATGACCCAGTTATCTCGAGGTTCCGCTGCGACTATGTTGATCCCAATCCATTGAGATACGACGGCATGTGCAAGCTGTCGGGTGATTTGTTGAGCAGGGTCAATAACACCATCTGGATAAAGCAATCTCGTGCTGCACATAGTTACACCTGCATGAATTGAGGTATCGGTATGAAGATCCTCCACGAAACACATCGAGTACGAGCGCTCCGGGCAAGAGATGTATTTTTGGACGACGAAATCCACAGCTTTGGTCATGGGAAGACACGTGTTCTTAGTGTCTTCGGTGCGGCCTGGTAAACAATATGCGAGCATTTCAACGGCATTTCTGCCCAATTCTTCCACTTCTTGGGCATCACGGAACTCGCCCAGATTGACTCGTTCAAACGGGCCGATTGCAAACCCAAGTTGTTCAGGGGCTAGTTGCTGGAGACACGAGAATGACATTGTCTTCTTGGTATTGTCTGATTTGTCGATGATATCATCTGTCAGTTCACCCGAACAGATAACAATCATGTCTTTGCCTCCGTAGTTCTGCCGTGTAGCATCTGTGGCCTGGTTACCAGGACTAGCTTGGTAGGATGCATGTGGTACAGCTTGATTGACAGCATCTCCAACAGTTCTTGGACATTTGATGGAGATTTCCCACGTGCAGCGGCTATTGAGACGATCCACGCATGGAAATAGAGATGAAGCTCCTCCAGAGCCAAGCTTCGTTCGAGTGTACGCATGAGGCCACCGACCGCTGCCAGGTGTTCCAGAGACAAATTGAACCGATTCTCGTATGTGACATGACTCAAACTCAATTACTACAGTCAAGGGGGTAAATCTGGCGACCGTAGTGTCTGATAGTCCCTGAGTTCCCTCATCGGCTGAGGGACCCCCAATTTCGGGCTCGGGCACTCTAATTAAGTCATGCGATTGCGTATGGATATCTGCAACGTGCACTGGCACAATGCGCACCTTCTTCGGAAGGGTGATGATAAGATCAGGCTCGGGTTCGCTTGCTGCCGAATTGGAAATCTTTTCTAATAGCAAATGATGCTGATTCACTCCAGCATCGGTATGAAGAGTTAATTGTCTGCAAGGGTCCTGATGGCGTACGGATGACGGAGGAATATTGTTCACCAACACCTTCTTGATCTCGCATTGTCGTCCATGTAACCGAATCTCCTTGAGGTCTTGAGAATCAGGATAGATGGTGATTTCAGTGGTCCCGTGAACGCGCTGATCGAAAGTGATATCAATATCGACTTTCTGATGAGCTACAGTGAAGCTAGTGGCCACAGGAACTGGCTGGGGGTTCTCAAGGGCCTCCATCTCTAAAAGATGGAACAGCACACGAGATCAGTTGGAGGCAAAGAAAGATCTCTGCAGGTCGGCATCCTTTCTTATGGACACATGCTCTTACTCGAATGGCAGTATTTCGGTTCAAGTGAGCCTGTGTGGAGAATATCCGACATTCATTATGTCGTAAAGCAAGTAGATATCGATGCTGGCGTTTGAAGTTCAGGCAGAATTGATGAGTCGTCGAATGGGAAGGAAGATACTTCACGTGTCAACAACGGGAAGCGGCAAGGAACTGATCGCGGAGTCACATGTCATAAGTTGCTCAAAGCGGCAACAACTCTTGGCGCGTCGTCGGCTACTCTCATGGGCTATGGACTACTTCCTCCAACTTTTTTTCATCTGTCTCCTCGTGCACCTTACTCAGGGAAATAAAAGGAGGGGCACAATATTGCATGAAAACCGCCTTCTTTTGACGTTGATCTGCCGCTCTGGCTCACTGAATCGTCCGTGGTCATCTGGTGTCGACTTCCACCCGACTCTTTGAGCAGAGAACCAACTTCGGCAATTGCCCCTCGTCAACATGGCTGGTAGGTCGGAGAAGTCTCGCAAATCCCCATTCCTTGCCTGATCGATCGTTCTGTACTCATTTCTATCGCACATAGCCGACCCTCTCTCGGACCAGGCTATGGCCCATCTGAAGCAATACAAATACCAGAGCGTGGACAAATCGTTCATTTCGAATTATATCCTCCGGCATTATGTAATCCTCCCCTGACTATTCCTCATCGAAGCCCAAAGCGCTCATTATTTGTTTTCAGTGGAATGGCGCGGTCAAACTCTTACCGATGTCACTCGCTCCGAACATGGTCACTCTGATAGGCTTTGTCTGTATCTTGGTCAATGTTCTCTTTTTGCAGATCTTTTGCCCAGATCTCGTTGGACCTGGACCGTCGTGGTTATACTACAGCTTTGCTTTAGGGTTATGGGCGTAAGTAACCATAACGACAGCTAGCACTTGGAATACGAACTCATCGCATGTAGATACTCCACGATGGACAATATCGACGGGAAACAGGCCCGAAGAACTGGCACTTCGAGTGGTTTAGGAGAGCTATTCGACCATGGCATCGACTCGTTGAACTGCACTCTAGCGAGCTTATGCGAAACAGCTGCCATGGGTTTGGGAACGAGTAAGACTGGAGCCTTCACCGCCCTCGTTCCTACATTGCCGATGTTTTTCTCCACCTGGGAGACATACCATACCCACACCTTATATCTTGGTGCCTTCAATGGCCCTACCGAGGGCTTGATCCTGGCCTGCATGGCTATGGTCATTTCGGGTTATTATGGGCCTCAGATCTGGCAATCTCGGATTGCCGACGTTGTCGGTTACAAAGAATACTTGGACGATCTTACCTTCCGAGACCTCTGGGTGCCTATCATCCTTTTTGCATTTTTTACAGCCCATCTTCCGGCTTGCGTATACCACGTCGCCCAGGCCAGACGCCGCAACAATCTCCCAATATTACCTGTATTCTTGGAGTGGATTCCTATGATTGTTTTCACAGCATCATGCGCCGCCTGGTTCGGATCTCCATACTCACACCTATTGCGAGACAACCATCTAGTCGCCTTCTGCCTGACGATGTCCTTTGTCTTTGGGAGACTGACCACCAAAATCATCCTTCACCATCTTACTAAGCAGCCCTTCCCGTATTGGACCATCTCGATGGTTCCCCTGGTCATCGGCGCAGTCTTGGCTTGGTTGCCACTCTTTGGCCGGGAGCCAATATCTCCCGGGTTTGAAAGGGCTTACATCTACGCCTATCTGCTTTTTGCAATGGTCCAATATTTCGTCTGGGCGGTTCGAGTCATCAACAGGATCTGTGAAGTCCTGGACATCAACTGCCTAACAATCAAAAAGAGAGGGCCTAACGAGAAGGCAGCTCAAATCCAGTCAAACGGAGATGTGCAGAAGACTGAGAAAACCCTGTAGGTATTCCGCCTTCTGTGCGTCATTCAGTTCTAGATCCTAGAGCAGGGCATGGAGTGGATGGACACGCTGATCGAGTAGAGCTGGGCCTAGATGATGCTTAAACCGGCGCTGACACGACGGCTGTGTCAGGCGGACACTCAAGCATGATTAGAGATTACCTGGATAGAGAAAACAAAACATCACATCACAAAAGCAGATCGGGACAAAGCATAGCCCCAAGGGAGGCATCACAACATATTCTACTACAGCGAGCATTATGATATCAGCGGGCCAGCTAATTTCATAAATCCTCTTTCTTTAATATAATAATCATTTTACATCTCGCCCTCTTCCTTTCCGTCCACCGTTCATTCAGGCTGTTGGTCCTTGAACTTCTCCTGCAGCGCCTTGACATCGAACCCACACAATTCCGCCCTCTGGACGATCGCCCTCGCCTTGCCCTCAACAGGAGCATCGATCATTTTTCCATCCATGGCCCAAGCACCCTTCCCCATCTCCTCGGCTCGCTTCTGCGCAATGGTAATCCTAACCGCCCACTCGACCTCCTTCTGGCCGGGGCTGAAGATCCTCTGCACCGTGGCCACCTGCGACGGATGAATGCACTGCTTGCCATTGTAACCCATGGACTTGCCCTCATTGCACTCATTTTCCAACATCTCATGGTCGGCTTCGGAGCGAAACGCCGTCGCGACCAAATCGATCGTGCTCGGCAGATTGTAGGCCCGCGCCGCTGTAGCGATCATCTGTCTCGCATACAGGAACTCGGTCAGGCTCGGGCTCCGCGTGATGGACATATCGAGCGCGAAATCCTCCGCCGCGAACGTCAGGCCCTGCAGCAGGTGCGGTGCGGCACGGCAGATCTCATTCAGGTTCGTGAGCGCCTTTGCGGACTCGATCAGCGCGATCACGCTGATGGGTCCGTGTTTCTCGGCGATTTCTTTGCTGCGCGAGTGCGCCAGCACGTCGCTGATGAATGTCATGTGGCTCGCGCTCTCGACTTTGGGCACCACGAGCGTCGTCAGGTTGGGCGACTTCACCACCTCTTCTAGATCCGCCAGTGCGAGCCCAGAGCCGACAGCGTTGATGCGCACCGCCCGCTCTTTCACCCCCGGCGGGAGCTCTTGGTCTAGTGCCTTGCGCACTAAGGTGCGTGCTTCGGCTTTGCGGCCGGGCGTGACGCTGTCTTCGAGGTCGTACGCCACGCAGTCGACCGTCAGTCCGCGCGATTTATCGAGGAATCGTTGGGAGGAGCCTGGGACTGCGGGGGATCCGAGGAGAAAGGGTAGCGTCAGCGTTTTGCGTACAGCGACAGGGGTATTTCAGGCCTCTTGTGGTTCAAGATCGAGATGGTATAGACATACCATAGAGCATTGCTCTTCTAAGAACATGTTTGGTGGCCGCAGCCATGACGGCAGATGGCAGAGAGACGCAAGCGTTCCAGACCTTCCTGGTGAGAATGTCCTCCAATTCAACGTGCACGACGCGTCTACATTCGCTAAGCCTTCCCAAAATACCTGGTCCTCACCTGAGAATTTGAAGCTACCCGGACAGGAGCGCACAAGATATATATGTATTTGTTTCGTCTATCATTTCAATCTCCGAGACATTAAGAACTAAGACGCAGTGCGGGGAAAGCAGGACCGAGCTCGGAGCCTCGTGCGGAATGTCAGACGACAGTGCGGAGAAGCATCATGGGGCAGGGTGAAAACAGTTGCTCGAACGTACGGGAATTTGGACCCTTTGTTGTTCTGTATTCTATCGCTCACAAGGATGAAACGTGGAATGTAGGTCTGAAGATATGATTGCCCTGAGAAGAACTCCTTTCCACCCAGTTCTGTCCGTTTGCAAGGAAATCAATAGGGCTATGTATCATTTGGATTTTCGACCGCACGTCCTCGGCCCATCCATCGGAGGTCAAGGCCACCTGCATATCAGGGATGCCACACTGCACTGTATCAGGTCCCTCATACCTCATGAAGAAAAGACGTTGAAACTCTAGTGGAGTTGATCAAAAGAAGGATCCTTGACACTGCCTCCAGCATCTCCCAAGCCTGCAACCGGCCTATTGTACGACCATCCGGTGAATTGTTGCTGCATGGTCTGTGATAACATGGGTCCGTCCACGTAGGAATCTTTGGGTACCTCAGAAGTAAACTCTTTATCGAAATTGTCTGTATCTCTGGCGTCGACCTGAGAATCATGTCAGTGGCAGCTCTCTTCTGAGTGTTCTTTGGGTGACCTACCACACTGGGCTTGAAGCTTGGCTCATACTTTCTCTGGAGTAGTTTTCTCCAGTCAATACCAGCAAAGAAGTGATGGGCCTTGATCTCTGCTGCGCCGCCTGCTCCCAATCTTCTCTCTGGATTTCGATCCAGGAGTTTCTGGAGCAGATCTTTGGCTGCTGCGGGCACAATTTCAGGACCAGGGAAGTGGAGAGGTTCTTGAAGAATCTTGCGGTACATCTCGTTCGTGTTTTCATCATAGAATGGTGGCAATCCTGTGAGCATCTCGTAAAGCAAAACACCAAGTGTCCACCAATCTACTGTCTTGGTGTATCCATGTCCAAGCAACAGCTCTGGGGCGAGATATTCCGGTGTCCCGCAGAAAGTGTTGGTGCGATCCTCATCCTTCATGTCAAGCTTGCACAGTCCAAAGTCACAGAGAGCGATGTGACCAGTGTAATCCAATAAGATGTTCTCGGGTTTCAAATCTCGGTAGATGACCTTGAATCCGTGAAGACATTCTAGCGCACAGAGAAGCTCAGCTGTGTAGAACCGAGACCGGTTGATGTCAAAGCGTTGCTCTTTCTGAAGGTGGTGGAATAGTTCACCGCCATTGACAAACGCCAGAACGAAATAGAGCTTGTCGGGTGACTGGAAGGAGAACTTTAGCGGGGTGATGAAAGGATTATTGATCTGAGCAAGAACTGATCTTTCGGCCAGGGTGTGAGCGACTTCTGACCGCGAAATGATGTGAGCCTTTCTGATGGTCTTCAAGGCATAAATCCGGCCAGTATCCTTCTTCAGGACTTGCATGACTTTCCCAAAGCTACCTCTTCCGACAACTTTGAGAAGTTCAAAGTCGTCCATTTTGAGGCTACCTTGAAGATTTTCCACGTAGTTAACGCCAACTTTGATTGACCCCGTTCCGAATTGGATGTCCAGCCATTCTGCGCCGAGCTGGCCCGCTTGTCGTTCTTGAGTTGCGAACTGCGCCTCGGCCTTCTCATTGTCCTTCTTACTCTTTTTGGGATCTGGAATAAAGTGCCGAACCTCCTCGAATCTTGGTGTCACTCTCGCTCCGCCGAGGAAGATATCTTCACTTCTACCTGCACCAGGCCTAGCTGCAGGATTTCGCAGATATAACTGCACACTCAATTCACAGACTCGGGATACGTCGAACTTGAACGAGGTGTTGTCACCTGCCCACAGGGGATTCTCTGGGGTACCAGAAACTGCATCGACAAAGACCTGCATTTTGTCGAAGTCCAGCAAGGCGTAAGGCAGGTACTTGCTATTGTATCTACCGTGAATGGTAGGCGCGGCGTTGATCCCAGCATGAGTTGAGACTGGCCGATTTGTCGGTGCGTATGAGCCCGCAACTGACCCTCCAGAAGCATATGAAGAACTTGGTCGAACGGATCCGGAAACTCCGGAGCCATAGTGGTTGTTGAAGACTGACTGATATTGCTGGGGTAGGGAAAAGCCTCGCCCTTCGTGAAGTGTTACAATCAAGATACCGGGCTTGGTCTGCTGAACAGGAGGAGAGGTCAAGGCCTCAGAGGCAGCTACCACATATTAGCAGGTGAGTATATCGTCATACAGAGTTTCAACATACAGATCCCATTTGTCGAGGTCGTGCTGACATTGCTGGGAGTGGTAGTCAGTTCAGGGGCATCGTGGCTCGCGGTTGAGGCTTCGTCTCCTTTCACCGTTGAAGTCGAAGTCGAACGTCCAAACCCACTCGTTAATGGAGCCAGGTGTGTCTCTTTTAATTCTAGGGTGAACGTCAGCCAAACAATCGATACCACAGCCAGACTCTTGCTTGATTCCAATCCACGTACTCTTCGTCAACTTCCACGACATATTTGCAACACTGTTCGCTGGCTGCTCTCGGACAACTTGTAAATATCGTCTGAAGGCAGGAGAGAAGGAGAGAAGGAAGGCTGTGCAGCAGAGCAGGGAAGCGGCCGAGGATTGCCTGCAATCTCGGTATCTTTCTTGACCGACAATCGATTGTGAGGCAGACTGAAGGTGGGGTAGGGCCAAATTGACGACTGTAGGTCGAGGTGAAGGTAAGGAGCGGCGAGAGTGAAGAGGTGAGGTGATAAACTGATGATGAAAGCAGAAGGGAGGGACGAGTGGTTGGTAAATGAAGTTTCAAGTCACACTGCAGAGGTGGTGCAGTGCAGTGGTTGATTATTGATTGAGATCTCAGATTTGGTCTGTCTTGGTCGACAACCTGGTTCGCAGTTGGTACTGAGGGACACCTAGGAGGGTGAGGTTTTAAGTGGGCTACCCTAACGGATAGGCGCAGTTTCTGGGACTTTAGGCGGTGTTGGGCCTGCAAGCCTCCCCTAAACCCCTCTACACTCGGAGTTACCACTACTTACGACCAGTCAGCACACGAGATCACACCGAACAGCTGGTGGGGCGAAGGAGCTGAGGTCATGGCGAGTCCTCGTACTGGTACGACTGCGCCATCGCCACTATTCCCTCTGCCTTCACTGCCACATCATGTTGCACCTTCCGCTTCCACGCCGGTCCCACCTCGGCCAAACAAGGCTAGCCGCGCCAAGGAGTCATCGAACCCAAGATCAGACGTCAAGTCAACTCTGGAGGCGAATCTACCCCAGCCTGCCTGTCCATTATTCAACCAGACTCTTCTTTCAAGACGCCGGACCCCTTTCAGATCATCGCGAAGACTAGTCTCATATACCATCGAAGAGCCTGACTCCGACTTTTCCACATCCGACTCGGATACCCCTCTCACGCCTCAGTCAGCCACTGCCCTTGACCCCAGCCACCACGACGCGACTATCCCCCATGAATACGCGCAATACATCTCTGACGACTCTGACATAGAGGAAGATGCTAGAATCGAAAAAAGCATGGGCGTAATCAGGAAGAACGCGGCCTCCCGAGGAGGCGACGGCGGCACAAAGTACCACTGCGATGTGTGCTCCATTGACATCACGTCTACCGTCCGTATATCTTGCGCTAACTCAGCCTGTCGCGACTACGATCTTTGCGTCCCTTGTTTCGCGCGAGGCGAACACACAAAGAATCATGACCCCCGCACCCATGAATACCATGTCGTCGAACAAAACTCCATTCCCATCTACACCGAAGATTGGGGTGCCGACGAAGAGTTATTATTGCTGGAAGGCTCTGAAAGATACGGTCTTGGCTCCTGGGCTGATGTAGCAGAACACATTGGCGGGTATCGAGAGAAGGACGAAGTCCGTGACCATTACATCGACACCTATATCAACAGTTCCCTATTCCCACTTCCTGAACTCGCCGACCCCGCGGACACAGCCTTGTTCGAACGAATACCAAAGGATGAATTCCAGGCTCGCAAGAAACGACGCATCGAAGAACGTAAGGAACCTGCTAAATCAGCTCCGCCGGCGACACCTAAGCAGAAACCCACTGCCTCTGTACCTGCCTGCCATGAAGTTCAAGGATTCATGCCTGGTCGATTGGAGTTTGAGACGGAGTTTGCCAATGATGCCGAAGAGGCTGTCCAGCACATGTCGTTCGAGCCTGGCGACGGCCTTGATCCGGTGACCGGATTGATGGATGAGGAGACCACGCTCAAAATGACAGTCTTCGACATCTACAATTCCCGGCTAAAGGCACGGACAGACAGGAAGAAGATCATATTTGAACACAACCTTTTGGAGTACAAGAAAAATCAACTCTTGGACAAGAAGAGAACCAAAGAGGAAAAGGATCTAATGCACAAAGCCAAGCCATTTGGTCGCATGATGGTCCACGACGATTTTGAGGCTCTCAACAGAGACCTTCTCCTTGAACACAATCTACGAATTGCAATATCACAATTGCAAGAGTGGAAGCAACTCGGGATTAGTGATCTCAAAGGAGGGGAAAAATTCGAAAACGATAAACAGGCACGAGTTCAAAGGAACCAACCCCAGGGGCAGTTTGATCGCATGCCTCAAATTCCTAAAAAGGGGGCTCAAGTTCAACAAGCTGAACTTCCTACAGAGGCATCTAAGTTGACCACCCCTGAGCTGCCATTACGGTTTCAGCGCAAGCCTAAAACAGCACCAGTATTTGCCGATAGCGCACCTCCGGTGGAGAACGACTTCGACAAGCTATTCGCAGAAACAAACGGGACAGATAGTTCGTCTACGCCCAAGCCCAAAATGCGCTATGTGGTACCACCATTGACCGGTACTGTCCCATGGAAGCTTGAGAATGACAAGACATTGGCTCCAGATCTCCAACTTCTCAGTGAAGAAGAGATCCAACTATGTAACTCTCTACACATCCGTCCGAAACCATACCTTGCTCTCAAGGAGGGTCTTCTGAAGGAAGCCATGAAACAAGGCGGCCACATGAAGAAGAAGGAGGCAAGGGGGGTGTGTAGGGTAAGTACTTTGACTCTGAAGCTTGATATCTCCACTAATCATGACCCTTAGATTGATGTCAACAAAGCTAATCGTATTTTCGATTTCATGATCCACAGCGGCTGGATTGCAAAAGCTTGAATAGCTTAGGTTGCACCATCGTCCCTACCACCTCTAAAAGACCGATCCATGACTCAGTCCGTCAAGCCAAACCTTTGGTTTTCATCTTCTGACAGCCATTTACCAGACGATGACATGATGATTAGCTATATACACGATACAACGACTCCACATGCAACATTGCAAATGACATGGGAGAACGGGAAGGACCATGACAACACTACTGGTAGTATGCTCTTTGGAATCCACCAACTGGAATGACGCACCACGTGATATCACGTGGTCTGATGACGTAGTCGACTGCAGGACACAAGGGCGGGTAGTCATATGGTCCTTTTGTATTGTGTGTCCGTACATAGTTTCAACCCAGATTCCCAAAGTCTGCAGAACTATAAATATACAAGTTCTCTGGTTTTGTGTTTACGTCGCACTCATACTTGTGCCAGATAATCTGCCAAAAGAGAAAATGCCGGACAAGATCTCAGCCACAGGATCATCATGGCCATCACAGCTTGCCAGCATGGGCCGCCAGAAGAACCAGTGAGGCTGTCAATGCCGTCATCCAAGCGATACCACTTCAGCAACCATGGCTCTTAATCTGCCTAGGTCATTACCGCCACAACAACAGGGTCCAAACTTGTCCTTTCTAGGTCTCACGATTCATGAATATGTAACGAAGAGGCCGATTTGTGGCGTCATTGGTCCTTGAAGTGAGATCTCAGGGTCGTTGATCACTGCCAGCCTCGGCACCAAAAAACGTCATTGGGCCATTAAACCTGCTTTGGGGTATCTTAATCAACCATCTTCTAACTGGTCAAACATTTCTTATAATATGATTCTTGTCGCTCTGCACAAGATGATATTCAGATTATCAAAATTGCATCAATCAGACAACTCTTGAAGTCCCAAAAGCTTCCCCTTGCAAAACCCCAAATCCCTTCAGCCAGCCAATCAAACCTAACATGCCTCTCTTCGGCCACAAAAACGCTGCTCCTGTTGAGCCAACACCCACAGCACGAGGACACCCTCGCCGGAGAAGTTCATCGCTCTCGTCCTCAAACCTAGAGGGCGCTCGCAAATCAGGATTCTTCGGTCGCAAACGGTCCACTTCCTCGGAGCGTCTCCGCCATAGCAATACCACCCGCCACCCCACGGGCAAACTCTCTCACAACTCAACCCGAGCCTCTGGCGGCGGTCTCTTCAACCGTCATTCAGAAGACCCGTCTATTGCCCATGCACGCGAACGTGTCATGTCGGCTGAAAACGCCGAGAGGGAGGCAGATCGTGCACTTGTCCAGGCACGAGCTGCTGTAAAGGAGGCACGCGAGCATATCAAAATCCTCGAGAAAGAGGCTGCTGAAGAGTAAGTCTCTTCACCAATACTTCTAATAACTTATTCGCATGTACTAAAATTCAAATCAAGGGCTCGACTAGCAAAGATCAAGCAACATCATGCTCGTGATATCTCGAAGAGAGCGAAGCCTCTTGGACGTGAGTACCTTCCTGGATCTTCCTAGCGCGCACATACTAAGCTTCTTCCACAGGTCATCTATGATAAGAATAATGAACGTGATGAATGAGAATGATGTTTCACTTGTTATCGTCTATTTGTGATTATAAGAAGCGAGCGAGACGTGTACGATTATTCGGGTCTGGTTTGTCTGTAACATTATATACACAACATGAGCTAAGACTTCTATGTCCAATGTGCAATCACGGCCGGTCTTCCCTGTGCTTCTACTGGCCTATCTAGACCCTCTAATTACAATCATTTGAACCCCAACACATCGAAATCTGGTTGTTTTCCGGAATGGTAATTCTGCTTAAGCTCCAACCTCAATGATGATCTTTCCCACACCTGACAGATTGCGCAGCTCCGCATACGCATCCTTGGCCTCATGCCATTTAAACACCCTTGCAATAGGAGGATGAAGCTGATGCTCTTCATAGACCTCAACTAGTTTTTCCAACATGCCATTGCTCACCCCAAGGATTCCATGAATGACCTTCGCCCCGAGGATGATTGGCACAATGAGATCTGTCGGCTTGCTCTCAGTCAGAAAACCAATGACGGATACCATACCACCCTGCTTGGTAGCTCGAAGCGATTGCTCGATGGTCATAGCTCCGGCGACGTCCACCACATGATCGGCGCCTCGGCCGTTGGTGATGCGAAGTACTTCTGCTTCCCATTCGGGAGTTTTCTTGTAGTTGATGAAATGTGACGCTCCGAGTGATCGAGCGGTCTCGAGCTTTTCGTCCGAAGAAGATGTCGCGATTACAGTTGCACCTGCGGCCGCTGCCAACTGGAAAGAAGATTTAGCATCCAAAACGATTTCTCGCTCGGTGAAGCGAGGTGATGTGTATGAATAACTTACCTGGATCGTGAAAGCACTCACACCTCCAGTTCCTTGCGCTACAACTGTGCTGCCCTTCTGAAAGGGCAGTGGACCGAAGAACAGCGTATGGACAGCAGTCCCAGCGGCTCCTCCCAGGGAGGCGGCCTCCGCAAATGACAGGTGGGAGGGGAAGGATATCAAGCGGCTGTCAGTCTTCCAGGCAGTCAAAATCATTTTTCATGGTGAACATTTGCACTGTTACTCACGAAGACGGCATATTCTCTCAACGTCCCATGAAGATTCCCACTACCAATAGATTCTCCCTCATCGTATCTAGGTACCGGCCCATCAATCCAATTGGTAGAATTGACCAAAACCTTATCACCAACTTTCCACTTGCTGCCGGGCCCAACTGCTTCGATCACGCCTGCTGCATCGGCACAGGGGACCAAATCTGGGATGGCACGGACTGGATAAGCCGGGCTATGTGCCACGATCATCACATCTCGAAAGTTGAGGGCGGCTGCTTTGATGTTCAGAAGGACCTCTCCAGGACCTGGTGTCGGTTTGGGGATGTCGTGGACCAGCCAGAGATTCTCAACGGCCTCGGTCGACTTCCAGTCTTGGGGTTCGTGCTCGGCTATCTGCCAGGCTGAAGACATTTTGAAGTCGTGTCTGCTCGATGCTTGAAGCTGGTGGAATAGATGGAATTGGTCAAGCGGTGAGCGATAACCATCTTGTCCATCCGTCAATGGTCGTCTCTTATAAGTCCTTGGACGGGATTGTGAGCATTTTGAGAGTGCTCATGAGCTGATAGGGATCTGTCAGCCAGAAACGCCGAAGGAGATACATGTCCCGCAAGGCTGTCGACAAATATTCTGCACATGCTCGAGAATGATATTGGTATTGCCCAAGATGACTAAATCGCGGAAGACATAGTAACCGGTACCACATCACTGCTGCAGATTTCAGGGTCAACACAATTCGCCGAATGTGCCGAATGTGCCGAGACTCTGCCAATACTACGTTGCTTACGCGATTCATTAATCCGCTTGTACTTGAATTTTGTCTGTTATAGGAGCAATCTAAGGACATAACCCTTGGATTTACACCGTATGGCCAGTACATCGACGTACAGATGGGAGCAGCACCAAACGATGGTGTTCAAAAACCCAAACGTGGGAGACTGGCATGTTCCAGATGCCATGACAAGAAAGTACTTTTAGCGCCAACTCTTGTGACATGCTGTGCCTAGCCAATTGACATTGATCTGACATAATTGCAGGTGAAATGCGATGTGCAGGTGCTCACTGGAGCTGAAATAAAGACATGTAAGTCGTGTCAAGAGGCAGAGGCGGAGTGTAGGTAAGTCAAGCTCGTGCATTCCTTGGACAACTGTCCAGTATGGAGATGTTGTGGCATAAGAAAGAGTTCTTACGACGAGGATTGAAACAGCCTCAGATCGCGAAAAGAGTACTCTCGGAAGCGACGAAAAGCCAGCGAGAAGTTGCCGCCAGACAATGTTGGTACTTCCGACGTGACCTCGCCACAGCGACTTAACGGCTCACTCCGTCAAGAGTTCGATGGTCTGGGTGTAACCAAGGATAGTAGAGCCCCTCTGACATTAACTGGGCTGTCGCAAGCATCATCCTCGACAGGACATGAACACGCAAGTGATACTACGGAATCAGAAGAGGTTCTGTCAAACCTCCCCCTCTCTCAGGCTGTGAATATCTTGTCTACAGTCAATGGAGTAAGAGCAGGGGATTACAGCCGCTCTCGGCTGACGATCAGGAGCTCGGCACCAACTCAGATAAACCAGACATTGCGGAGAATCTACTTCGAGACCTACATGGAATACGCCTATGTTTGGTGCCCCACGCTAGACCAGGACCTCTTACGAGCTCATCCTGAATTCGCAGATTCGGTCCTTCTGAATCACAGCCTCGCTCTTGTTGGGGCCAACTTCAAACCACCATTGCTCCAGCATACTCCCACGTCTGAGCATTATCAGATGGCACGGCACTCGTTCTATAATTGGCACGAGACGAACCCGCTAGTTACCATTTGTGCAATCATGCTCTTTCATTACTGGGATATGAGCACTGTTGCCACTGTGAACAATACTGACACTGACTGGTGGTGGCTGGGAAATGCAATACGCCTTGCACAGGCGGAGGGCTTACAACGAGAAGGAAAGTCCAACGACCCACCTGGACCATTCCAAACGTTGAAAAGAAGGATATGGTGGGCTTTGTTCGTAAGCTCCTCCTTCCCAACAATCTCGACAGGAAATGCTAAAAGGGGTAAAAGGCAAGAGAGAGAATGACAGCAATATGTCTAGGACGGCCTTGTGTGATCGATACGGCTTACTGCAACGTTCCGTTGCCTACCCTGAATGATTTCCCATCAGATTGCCGTTTCAAAGCGTCAATTTTCATCGAATTCGTGCAGCTGAGCGATATCCTGGGGGACATCAGCAAACTCCTTGCCCAGGGCGCGGCATATTTCCCGGCCACGATCTCTGCTCGTAGACGCCTGGTAGAATGGATACGAAATATCCCACCCGATCTGCAACTATCCGCGACGGGAGGAGTGATGAAAGACTTCAACCGCGATGTCCTGCTTCTCCATATTCCCTACCTTGGCGCCCTCACGATGCTGTACATGAGCTTTTCAAGCGACTCACCTCCTAAAGCGTGCGTCCCAGGTATTGCGGCTGCTTCAATCCTTTCAAAGATCTGCGAGGAGTTCCTGGCTCGCGGTTTCATTCGTTTCATCCCTGAGGAGACCGCGTGGTTTATTTCTTTCGCGATCCTCACTTTGGCCCATGCCCGGCAGGTCGAATGCCTCACTACTCACTCTGACGCTGATATCTGGATCTTGTCCACGACATTGCGGCAAATGGCACCCATGTGGAGCTCTGCTACATCATTTGCCAACATATACGAGAAAATCCAACGTGATCTTGGTCTGACCACCCGGCCGCCCCCTTCGTCACCACCGTCTAAACAGCACCAGTGCGAGCGAGCCCGAGACGACAGCACTGGAGAACCACATGAATGCACGCTGCCACATTGTCTAGATGAGCTCGCTTCCCTCGACGGCGTGAACTGGATGGAATACTTTCCGTACGGAAATTGCAACACAACTCCAATGCTGGGAGCTATCCTGGCCGCACAGGGCGATGCGTTAAATTTGTCCGGGCTGGATTGGCCGCTTGTCTTCAACCAAAGTATGCAAGACATCTTTGCGAACTTTGACGAATTCGGCAGCTTCTTGAGTGCAGAACAAGGTGGCACAACTGCGGCACCTCATTGAGGCAGTACAATAGAACGAGCAAAGGTAACAGCTGCTACAGGCCAGCTCGCTTAAAGCCTATCCACTGGAAGGGCGTGCACCGAGCCGCCTCCTGTGGCGTCTTTCAATTACCTCACTCGTAGCCATTGCCATCAAAGCATAAATATCTGCGGGGAAGATCACTCCACATCCGGTGGAAAAGCCCGCCTCCCAAAGTTTTGCAATGCTAGCTGAGTCGCTTCTAGTCACTTAGAGAAAGGCGATTGGAAGCCCGTTAGGAAATGTCGTATACTCCTAAAAAAGTTCCGGAAAGAATTCAATTCTCGATTCCAGTAGTAACGTAGCCGTCTCCTTCTTGCACACAGAGTCGTATACTACCCGCGGCCGCAGCTTGGTTTTTCATCCTGCAGCATTACAACGAGCCTTCGGAAAGTTATGTCAGTGCCGCTTCTGTGAAGAAACGGGAAGAAGTCGAAGATGGCATATCTCAATGAAGTATGACTTCGGGGAGGCAACATGGTATGGGTCCACCGACGTGGTCACGAACGGTATGCTTTACGTGATGGGAATCTCTGATTGGGAGACAGAGCTGCTAGCGGAGCGCTAATACCACTGAGGTGTATCTGAGACGGTAATTTTCTTATCAGGTTATCGTCGGGCTTGGCCACGTGGACGCGGGCAGCAGTGCGGCAGAATTTCACGAACATCCCTCCGATCCTTACCCTGCGACGTGTGAGTTCCAAAGTCGAGGTGCGGCGACGCCGTTCAGAGGGGATTCATTCTAGTTGAACCCTTCTCTTCCTCTCTTTCAAGTTTTCTTTCATCGGTTCAGTTGCTGCGGGAGACTCAATTGCTTTTCCCACGTCACCTCCAGCACGTATGCTGCTCTAGAATCCGTTGCCAGCGTCTCAACCAAAAAGATGGCTTCCGCAGCTCCGAGATGGCAGACTGCGTCATTGCCAATTCAACATCTGCTCCGGCCCGGCTTCAAGGCTCGAGCCGTCTCGAAGATATACAAAAGATCCCTGGTCATAGACGACAAGATCAGCTTTGTCGACGAAGGGGAGGAAATTCGTCCTCTGCGAAGCGAGGCGCGCATCAACCTACCTACTGGCTCAAAAATATCTTTCCGCACGCAGGATAGCCTTTTCAGCAATCGACATATTGGCCCTTCGCTCGAAGAGGAGGAACAGATGGTCAAGGTCCTAGATCCTCCTGCTAGGGATCTTGATGATTTCATCGACCAGTCTCTGCCTCACGATATCCGTGCAAGCAAATCAATTGGCCTGACCGATGCCTTCGAGCAACCTAATGAGCAGGGCGTCCACGAGACTGCGATAGAGAGGGAGCTTCTTGCAATGGCAGTTGAGAACAATGCCTACTTCAACTTCATAGGCCAGGGCTATTATGGGACCAACACACCGTCTGTCATTCAGCGCAATGTGCTTGAGAACCCTGCCTGGTATACCAGCTACACACCCTATCAAGCCGAGATCAGTCAAGGACGATTGGAGTCCCTTCTCAACTTTCAAACCCTGGTCACTGACCTTACCGGTTTGACTATTGCCAATGCCTCTGTTCTTGACGAGGGCACTGCTGCCGCCGAGGCCATGACTCTATCCCTGAATGCCCTGCCAGCATCCCGCCAGAAGAAGGAAGGAAAGGCCTTTGTTGTTTCTGAATCATGCCATCCCCAAACAATCGAAGTTCTGGCTTCCAGGGCTGCAGGCTTCGGGATCAAAATCATCACAGGCGATGTCTTGCAAGACAATCATAAGCTTGTGCGTGAACAAGGCGACAATCTGATCGGTGTTCTGGCCCAATACCCGGACACTCTTGGCGGAGTCTACGACTACCAGGCCCTATCAGATGTAGTTCATGGTGCTGGGGCAACGTTCTGTGTGGCAACAGATCTACTCGCGTTGACACTCCTCAAATCTCCAGGCGAGTTTGGTGCTGATGTCGCCCTCGGCACTGCCCAACGCTTCGGTGTACCCTTGGGGTTTGGTGGCCCTCACGCCGCCTTCTTTGCATGCAGTGAGAAGCACAAGCGCAAGATCCCCGGGCGTCTCGTTGGCGTCTCGAAAGACCGTTTAGGAAATCGCGCCCTTCGGTTGGCACTCCAAACACGTGAGCAGCACATCAGACGAGAAAAGGCTACCAGCAACATTTGCACAGCACAAGCTCTGCTAGCTAACATGAGTGCATTCTATGCTATATACCACGGGCCGGAAGGCCTTAAGGCTATCGCCAAACGGATCTCGTCCATGGCCAAGTTTTCTCAGATTCTCATTGCCCAGAAAGGCTTCAACATCATCACCAAAGGAAGAAGTAAGGATGGGCTCGTTCTTTTCGACACTGTGACCGTGTCTGGACCAATACACAGAATCCGGGACGTCTTAGGGGCGGCGAGACGCAGACGAATTTCCCTCCGAAAGATAGGACAGGTAGAAGGCACACAAGAGGCACGGATAGCGTTTTCAATTGATGAAACAATCTCAACCAGGACCTTGTTCAAGCTGGTAAGCTGCTTCGACGTCTCCCTGGAAGAGTTCAAGGAGGCCCTGTTGGACCCGGAGATCACTGCGAAGACAAACGATGACAGCATTCCTCCTGAACTAGAGAGAAAGACATCTTATCTGACCCACCCTGTATTTAATCAACATCACTCCGAGACGGAACTCCTGAGATACATTCATCATCTCGAATCTAAGGATCTTTCCTTGGTTCATTCCATGATACCGCTAGGGTCTTGCACCATGAAACTAAATGGCACCACTGAAATGCTTCCTGTTTCCTACCACGGATTTTCTAAATTGCACCCTTTCGTACACCCTAGCAATTCGGTTGGTTACTACAGGCTAGTCATGGCACTTACAACCGCCTTGAGGAAGATCACCGGCATGGCTGCTGTCAGCCTTCAGCCAAACTCCGGCGCACAGGGCGAATTTGCTGGGCTACGAGTCATCAAGAAGTATCACGAGGATTCAGAAAACGGTCAAAACCGGAACGTGTGTCTGATTCCTGTGTCAGCACATGGCACAAATCCAGCATCTGCAGCTATGGCCGGCATGAAAGTTGTTCCTCTAAAGTGCGACACCAAAACCGGAAACCTCGATATCGACGACTTGAAAGCTAAATGTGAGAAACACAAAGACGATCTTGCCGCTATAATGATCACCTACCCCAGCACATTCGGTGTCTTTGAACCCGGTATCAAACAGGTTTGTAACATCGTACACGAACACGGTGGACAAGTATACATGGACGGAGCCAATCTCAATGCTCAAATCGGACTTTGCAATCCTGGTGAGATCGGTGCGGATGTTTGTCACCTCAACCTTCACAAGACTTTCTGCATCCCTCATGGCGGTGGTGGGCCAGGTGTTGGTCCAATTGCTGTCAAAAAACATCTTCAGCCCTATCTTCCAACTCATCCACATAGGGACCCTCATGGCCAGGGCAGACCAAAGGCCATATCTCCAGTCAGCTCAACCCCATGGGGAAGTGCATCAATTCTTCCGATCAGTTATGCCTACATCCAACTTATGGGTGACCAAGGACTTACTCGTGGTACCAAAGTAGCTCTCCTTAACGCCAACTACATTATGTCACGCCTCAAGAATCACTACCCAATTCTTTACACCAACGCAAATGGCCGTTGCGCTCACGAGTTCATTCTCGATGCTCGCGGTTTCAAGGAGACGAGTGGGATCGAAGCCATCGATATTGCCAAACGGCTTCAAGATTACGGTTTCCACGCACCTACGATGAGCTGGCCTGTTGCGAATACGCTGATGATTGAGCCCACTGAATCAGAGTCTAAAGAAGAGCTGGATCGATTTTGTGATGCGCTGATCGAGATTCGGAAAGAGATCCAGGATGTGGAGGATGGCAAAACCCCTCGAGCAGGGAACGTGCTCAAGAATGCGCCGCATCCGCAAGCCGATCTTCTTAGGGAGGACTGGGAAAGGCCCTATACCAGGGAGCAAGCAGCATATCCTCTTCCATGGCTACGGGAGAAGAAATTCTGGCCAACCGTGGCTCGAGTGGACGACGCTTACGGTGACACCAATCTGTTCTGTACATGCACTCCGGTTGAAGGATTCGAGCAGGAAGGCATCACGGGACTTCAGGCACCAATGCCCACATGATCTCCGCGCCTTTTCTCTTATGTCCTTGACACACAACATTGAGCTTCTGCGGCGTTTAACATGAAAGAAAAGCAGGATTGCAAGCGTGTAAACAATGACGGGAATTTCAACACTCTGGTCATCTTCGGCTACACAGTGCATGCAAGGCGTTGAGAAATGAGCCCGTGTATTTAACCATTCGTCACAACTCTAGAGGTTTTCGAAAGTAGGGGAAGAGAAACTCTTTCAGCATAAGCTACTCTCAGCGCTTTTTGGAGGTAGTATTGAACCAAGGAAATAGCGAGCTTCGCCCCCTTCTTTTCCATTGAGGTCTAGCATGTGAAGGAAGGTGCTGACGGCCGCGGTATTTCAACATAATTTGATCAGCATGGACAAAGGTTGTTCCCCCATTCTGGGTTCTTAACGAGTCCAGACACATAGATTACGGGATAACCAAATGAAGCAACTCTAGTATCAGTTCTAAAGAATTCACAGTTGTTGTAGGTTTAATGTCTATGCCGATTGGTCCATTCAAAGAATTCACGGGCGCGGTCTTCGCTGTCAATGACCCGAGAACACGGACAGACCCGCGACTGAAAACAAAAAACAAATAAATGCTTAGGGCGAAATGATAAATGCTGATCCTAACCGAGAGTGGGAAATCCACCTTTTCTGGCTCCGGACCCTCCTGGTCTCTTCGCTGAAAGAGAGAAGAGATGGACATTTTCAAGGGAGCTTCGTGCCGGCGTCGTAACCCGCAAAGGCAACAAATCCGTTGGTCGAGGATAGCAGGGTACAGTCTTGTATATGGACCGGGTTGGGTTGGAACGGTGGATTGGCAGGGAGCGTCCTGTCTTGGTAGTTGGCGTACACACAGGCAGGATCCGCAGCGCAGGCCTCCATGCAGGTTACAAAGTCGGGGCTGCTGAACGGGCTGCCCTGGAGGGACTGGCCGTTGACCTGGAAGCCACATTGCAGCGAGAACTGATCCCCGTTGGCTGCCGTGAACGGGCTCGAAAGCGCGGCACAGGTTGGAGCGGCGGCTGCGGTGGTCGTCGTGGTAGTTGCTGGACTGGTCGTGGTAGTGGTCGAGTCGGTTGTACTGGTTGTGCTGGTCGTGGTAGTGGTCGAGTCGGTTGTACTGGTTGTGCTGGTCGTGGTAGAGGTCGCGCTGGTCGAGCTAGTCGTACTAGTTATGCTGGTCGTGCTAGCTGTCGAGTCGGTTGTACTGGTTGTGCTGATTGTTGCGTCGCTCGTGCTGG